GATTGCATCATAATGGGGTACTTTGACCATTTTTGTTACACGCACACACGCATGCGGTACACGTATACATGTGCGTATATGCGTGTATATATAGCAACGCAGCGGACTCTGTCTATATAGGCAGTCGGGGACGTGTGTAGGACTCGCGCGCGCGCCTGCCTCATACGTCGTACTACCGTATACGCACTGCAAGCACGCGGCTTTTTGATCGGTCACAATGATATTGGTATATTAGGGAGCAAAAAGAAAAAAGGAAAAAAAATAACACAACACTCCTCCCGAAGGGTGATAGATGCTGCTGCTGCTGCTGTTTGCGTGTTGTGTGCGCGTGTGACGCGAGCCCACACGTATATTATAATATACAAGAACCGTGCATTATAAAAGAAATTACATCATTGTTCTGCTGCGGCGCGGCCTTTGTTCCGGCCGAGAGAGCTGACCAGAGTGCTCTTCTCTCTCCTCGTTCGTTATCATGCAAATTTTTCGACCTCTCTTTACTCTCTCCTTTGATCATCTTGCGCCTGAGAGCGAATGCTAATACATCGAGACTGATCTCCTCGAGAAGAAGTTGTACGAGATGAGGATTTTCCGATGAAAAGTCGCTACTGCATGATGCATCTCGTATCGCGATCGAAGCGGCGATAAAAGCGCGATCGTTCGGTTTTTCCTGTATCGTAGCGCACGAATTACTTGGCGCTAGAAGTCTGCGTATTCGCTTCGCGAAATTTACATATTATCGACTTCCCTGGAAACGGCAGCAGCTTCGAAACGAGACGGCCGATTAATTTTTAAGCCTTCCATTTAAAGCAAATATGTACGCAGACGTGAGGCGATATTTGCATAACTGCCTTTTAACGTCAGTTTTTCCAGAAGAAGACGCGCGAGCCCGATCGTTGGGTTTTCAATCGACACAACAGCGCGTAAAAATTTCAAAGGAGTCGATTAACGAGCAATTCGAGTAATCGCGAGAATATACAATTTGGATATAATGTATCGGCGCGGTGAAAGTCGATACACGTGCGCGTCGCGCAGAAGTGCCAAAAATCCTCGCCAAAATTAACTAATGTAAACGGTATCGGTACGGACGATGTACGCAAAAAAAGAAGAAGAAAAAAATGATCGATCTTACAACGTACACACATACACGCATAATAATATTGCGTAAGCCGGTAAGCTCGTATTACCGCATCTCTTTTTAATAACAAAAAATATTCTGTATACGCGTACACACACCCGATAATATTTAGTCGTGCAGATCGTCTTTGGTAACGACGCGAACATACATAATATAATGTTTCATGAGGTAATTTTTGCACAATAAAGTTTCGTCAGACGCGCGGCAGAGAGGCAGTCTCTTTCGCACGTACACCTATATTCATACATGTATGCAAAGCAGCCTTTAACGATCGCGAGCCGGTGTACGTATGTATAGGAAAAGAATTCTAATTTTTTGGCCGCAACCGCGCGGCTTTACTAATAATATCGGCTTAGGTAAAACCCAACGAGAGTTTAATTTAACAAGCGCACGTAGAGCGAGTGTACGTGGGCTTTACGTGGATTACAAACACCGTATACGATATTACTTGTTTTGCATTTCCGTATCGATGACTTTTTGAGCAATCGTACCGCCAATAACTAGATCAATTAGACACGAAGAATATTATCGGTGTGAATTAGCTGATTATATCGTCGAACCATCGTAAAGATTTTCAGTTTAGTAATGTTAATAGTGTCCGAATCTCAAATCCTAGTAGAAATGCTCAATAATCATAGACCGATGAACCAAAAAGGACAATTTGTGATGTTTTTCAAATACGTCAGACTATTAATCGGCTTGTTTTTGGCGATTTTTCTGTTAAAGTTATATTAAAAATATCAAGGGCATTTTGTTAAACCTACAATTGAAAATTTTTTCATTCCAAAATGTTTTAAATCACTTTAAATGCGATAATGCCACTTTAAACCTTCACCGTTAGATGTCGAGTACCACTATCATGTAAATGTGAAAGTGGCAAAGTCAAATAATTGTATAACTGATTGTAGTGGTTTTTGAAATATTAGATTTTTCTTTCTTTAGTATGCTTATTAATATGATTAGTTTAATATGATATTTTTTATATCTTATAGATAATCTTATAGACGTAGATTGTAGATGTGGAATAAATTGAATTCACAATTAATTCAATATTAATTGAAGCTTTACATTTCAAATGTAAAATTTTAAAAATAACTATTGAAAGTTTATGAAAATAATAATTCGCACGAATTTCATATATTTTATATCATCAAAAAATGGTTATTAAATGAAAAAAAGAAACGGGAAGACTTTTCGTAGCTCGAAACGTTGAGCATAAAATTTTGAGCATTTCTAACTTCTATGCGGGAAAGTAAAATAATATATCATCGCCATCGCGCGAATTCGGACGAAGGTTGAAAAATATAAAAAATTTTAGCGATGCAACGCGCAAATATTATAAGACTGTATACGTGGTGCAGCCTTCGTCTTCTCAGCTTCAGCCCAGGCTGCATATATTGGCACGACGATCCTTGCTCTCTGTCTCTCTCTTTTTCTCGCTCCGTTCTCGGTGGAACATGCGCTGCAGCAGGCGCGCATTTATAAATCGTCGAGCAAACCGGTCGTAGACCTTCATTATATATATAAAGAGCGTCTCTATACCGTGTGCTGCTGCTGCTGCTGCATCTCGGGATCGACGGACTCTTATACAGCATGAAACTGCACACGCACGTGCGTCCATGTTTTGGTTTTGATTCTGTAGCAGCAGCAGCCACAGCAGCGGAAGCTCTTCTCTCCTTCTTTCTCTTGGCTTGTGTTTTTTTTCTCTCTCTCCTCTCGTCTATCTTTTTCTGCGCCTTGTATACGGAATAATGCATAGACGCGCGGGAATGAAGGTGCAAAATTCGCCGTGTAATGCACGTACGCATGCGTGTGCATACAAGTAATATATTTACATTATATACGTAAAAAATACCTGCACGATATGTATGTAGGGGACGGGGAAAATTAATCGTATCGTACGGGCGTGGTTCGCGCGCGAGAGACAAACAATGCGCGCGTCGGTCGCTCGCTCGCTCGTGCGTACCTATATATATTGCGAGGAAAGTCGTTATTGCCGTTTCTGCATTTCGTATTATACCACGAGATATACCTACGTGCATCATCCTATCCGAAAAGGAGAGGAGACGAGTTTCGGTGCAGTGGACAGACAAAAGGGGTTGTTGCACACACGCACACATTACAGAGCCCGAAAATCATAGTGCGAGAAAATTTTTCGTTATTTCATCCTGTTTTTCTTCTTTTTTTCTTCTTCTTCTTCTTCTTCCTCCTCGTAGGTATGCTACCTACATAGTAGCATCTCTCTTGCACACAAGCATGCAGTCCTATATAGACCCTCGCTCTCTGTGCAGCTTATGCATACATTGGACTGCGGCGCGGCAATCTGCTAATGATACTCCGGGCCGTGTGAAAATGACAAAAGACGCACTTACAATACGTATATATTATAAGAATAAGAGAGAGAGAGAGAGAGAGAGAGAGAGAGACGGTGCAGCAGCGGCGGGATAACCCGTTGTTGTTGACTCGGATTGCAGTTCTCCACAGTCGTATATTATATATAGGTACGGCTCGTATACTTGTTAATGCCCCAGGACTATAAGCAGGCATAACATACGTACGCGCATATTTTTATGCATATACATATTCGCGACGAGTTTCCGCAACGATTCCCCGATATCGATCTTCTTCTTCTTATTTTTTCTCGACGATGACATACGCAGAGTAGAAGTTGGCAAAAAAAAAACGTCGATCATTATTATCGTATTTACGAAAACACGCGCGTGCGCCATACGCGGCAGTAAGACGCAGACGACTAATTACGCCCGAACAATACTGCATTTAGCGCGTAAACGTTAAAAAAAAAACACGTTGCCAAAGACCGATTAACACGTCCATACGTATGGTATAATTATTACGTATCTCGGGAGTATCGTCTTTGAAGACTCGAGCTTGGCGTCCGACACATCGCTCACGTCCGTGGCAAAAACTGCGAAAATAATTATGGGAAACGTTTGAAATGAAAAAAGATCATCAATACTGGACTACATTTATATTTACAGGTTTATCTTAAAATTATAAATATACAAAATGACAAAGCGATGAGTACAAAAAATTAAGAGTAAAAAAGTCTTTGACGGTAACTAACGATTAAGTTAAGACGCTACACATGCGCCTATATATATCAATACAATAAAGAGTAGAGATGAGAGAGAGAGAGACGCTCGAAAAAAAAAAACTTAATATCGTCGAGTCGTACACATATGAAATTTGCCTAATCGACGCATATCGCCATTGTCCTGCGCGCCAACAATGGATAAGTATAAATTGTGTAGGATACGTGTGTGTGCGTGTCTGTGCGTCCGTGTATGCGTGCGATTCTTTAAAACGATTTGCACGCGGGGCTGTTACCGAAGACAGACTAATCATATGCTGCTTAAGCAGTTCTCTCTGTCTCTCTTTCTCTCTCGCTCTCGGGCTCTGCGTGCGGCGCAGCAGATTAAAAACTGGATTTAAGCCGCCTCTCTATACCATATACATACAGATATATATGCGTACGAGTAACAGATCTAGAGAATATAATACAATATATAACATAGCATAAGTGAGTCAAAAGTAACTTGTCCAACTGCGTGGCTCTCGGGATCTCGTATTATATACACACACACACATCGTTTTCTCACTCGTAAGGACGCGCATATCCATACGTGCGTATGTATCGAATGCGAGCACCCAAGTCAGCTGACCACACGTACATATAGGTATCTTAGATAAACCATATACAGAGATCTGCAAGTGTGCGAAGCTCGCTCTCATAAACAAACGCATAAAAAATACAACGACTTATCTGTGTCGTAAAATATGGACAACTACAAAAAACTAGAGCTCTTAAACATTGCCTAATGTACCTAATGCAGTGTCACGCGACTCAAAAGACACCGCCGTGGGCTTGAGAGTAGCCGATCGAGCCGTGCAGCGGGCCGATATTCCAGTTGGCCGTCTGGGACTGAGCCTGGGCGTTGGCGTGCGCTCCACCGAAGCCGCCGCCGTATCCACTCCCGTATCCACCGCCGAATCCATGACCTCCGTACAAGCCAGGCCGAGATCCAGCGGAAGCTTGAGCACTGGCCGACGCCGAGCCACTGCCGAAGCCACCGCCATACAAGGGCTGCTGATATCTGCAAAAATTCGACGTTTTAAAGCTCTTCAGCTCGGATTTTGCGAGACTTCGTACGATCTTGTAATTTACTCACCCTCCGTAGCCGCCGCAGTTGCCGAATTTGCACTTGTGTCCCAGACCGTGGCCGTGACCAATACCGTGTCCGAGACCACCACCGTGGGCGTGGGCATGAGCGTGGGCGTGTCCACCCCCGAGTCCGTGACCACCCAAGCCGTGACCCCCTAAGCCGTGCCCGTGCCCGTGTCCGTGCAGTCCGTGATTGAACTTGCGTTTGAGCTTGCGCTTGAGCTTGCGCTTGGTGTGGGGACTCAGGTGGCGACCCTCCAGATCGTAGTCCTCGTAATCGTCGTCGAGATCGCGCACGTTGCGAGACACATCTGCGTTTTTTTTTTTCAAGGATTTAAAATCGTGTCAAAAAATGCGAATAACGTACCCAAATTTTCGTTGAATTATGCATTAAAACATTAACGACGAGGACGACTCGCGATGACTCGCGAGCCAAGTATGCCTAAATATACCCGTTGCGTAAAATCGACGAAAAATGTCGATCGTTCGCGGGGCCGTTAAACGAATTGCGATCGACTCGCTCGCGGTTTTTGCATTATTAAAGCCGTGTGGTTTCTTAGAACGAGAGTTAAATAGATTGGTATACTCGGCTAATGCTATTTTGCGTAAACAAGTAGTGGCTATGATCGAGTCAGCAACTCGTCAAATGGCTTTACCGAAGATATGCGCGCGCATGCAACGACAAAAAACCATTCGATCTTTCATCACGGAGCAGACGTTTTTAATTAGATAAAGATTATATGCGATGTTACGTAATGTGGTATTTTATGCGCTTTCACTCTGAAAAAGTGCGCCGAGCGCAATCGATTTAATCGCGAGAAAAGTCAATAGTTCAATATACGATTCACGTGTACATCTCGAGTGCTAATTTACGAGTCAGTTGTCGATCGATCGTACCGATTTTTCGTAATACAAACGTTTCAATCGATTTTTATTAATTATATGAAGAATCACTTACCAGAGGAAGCCTCGGCGGTGGCCGTGGCGTGGCTCACTACTGGACCGTCCACTCCTTGGGCGATCGCGACGGCGTGAGCCACGGCGCCCGCCTCCCTTTTGTCCCTTGATTTGTCCTGATGTTGCTCGGCATCGATGGAAGCGGCCCAAGTCGTCGACAAGGCCAAACAACAACACAGCACGACGAAGCCACACCTCACTCGAGTCATCTTCTTGGTTGATATATATTATTACGTGGAGATTATATAATAATGGGATCGGCGATCCACCGATCTTCGCACCTCATCGAATTCAACGCGTCTAATGTCCCTTGCTCGGCGGTCAGTCGAGCTCTTATACATGTGGGCACGCGTCTCTCTCTCTCTCTCTCTCGCTCGTTTATGGGGTCACGTCGCGCAAATATATGGTACATACGTACCTTATGCGAATAATGTACCTGCCACCGCCACGAGACTCTCTGGGGCAATCGGTACATACGTACGGAGCACGCGTGCCTGTGTACACTGCGTACGTATAAAACTACACGGGTTTTCCCGCCTCCGACTTTTTTCCTTCTCCTCGGGCGTCTACTACTTACTACTGTATATACTTTATGTATATACATGAAACAACGCCAGGGCCTAGTGGGTGAAAACAGGGGGACCCCCCGAACGCGGTGGGGCCTCTCGAAGCTGTTGCTGCTGCCGCCGCGCCCGAGATCCGCCATTCGCCGTTCACCTGTGATTTCGAAAATCGCGGCACTGTGGTATGAGCGACGCGCGCGCGCAAGCAGGCGAGAGTCTAATTTTGTATGCCCGATTTATCTCGCGCGCAGCCAAGGTCGCGTGCGCAGCGAAAAAAACTCTCTTTAGTTCTCGATGGTCCAGACTCGATCTACATGTACTTATTTTTAATGTATATGGGTCGTTCTATAATAGAAAAACAATTTCTTTTCTATTACGGCGTCACAGTGCAAAGAAAAGTAAGATCATATAGTTGTTTCCATTCGGCAAAATTCTATCTTCCACTGTTCTAAAATTGCCATGAATTACTTTTGATTTTAATTGCCAGTAGGATCATTATATTCTGACAAAGAGACCTAATTCTAAACGTCAAAAATTATACAATCGAACTTCAGTTTCTACGCCAGGCTGTAGTCAAAACTTTTATCGCGACGCGTCGCTAACTGCACTATATACGCGCGTTCTCCCGCGCAGCTGCTTCGAAACGTTACACGCGCTCACATATGCATACACACACCCAACACGCTATAATGTAGTAATTTCATGTTATAGTATTGAACTGTGATTGATTTATCTCGGAAACGTACCGTGGAGGTTCCTTGAAAATTTTCCCGCACATTAAAAGCATATTCTATTATATCTAGTTCAAATTTTAAAATATTTTATAGATAGTGATATTTTGACTCAACTTCTTCAAATCAGTTCAAAGATAGGACCTGTTGCCTATCTAAAACATGATGAAATAGCCTATAGGCTATCTATAGAATCGATATTTGATATGTCTATGTGCATGGGGTCACAAATCTAGCTTTCTCTTGCACGGATTCGTATACATTTATCTTCGGTATCTCTTGTAGTTTCATCAGAATTCTATACCAGTACGAAGTCAGTAGTTCACAGAGAAAGATTTCGACGATCGTGTTCGCAGTGTTCGCGAAATGAATTATAAATAGTTTAAATTATAAACGACTATGTATTGTGTTCCAGTGCGCAAAAAAATGTCGTTCTCGTTCGGCGTGGAACCCGCGGAAAATTTCTGTGACGACGATAGTGAACGCGACGAGATCGACGCCTATAACGAGCGCAGGAATATTCTTAACCAAAAAAAATTAGAAAGTTTGAAGAACTTGTGTGCAAAGATGGACTTGGAGAGCGAAGAGAAGCGACGTGAATTTCTTCGTCAATTTGACAAATTTATCGGCAATTGGAACTGCCCGCTTCTTAATTTGCGTGAGTTTTTTCGAGACAAAGAAATTGAGAAACTTCTCATGGAATCCGTAAAATACATAAATAGTGATGAGAGCTATCGTACAACAGAAGGGTTTATTGCATTCGTGGCTCGCACTGGCTACAAAGATGAGCCCAAAATTGACAAAAACGGTGTGCCAGTGTCGGATCGTACCACACCAATTCATCTTGCGGCTATCTGTATGAACGTTTACTCGCATACGATACAAGATCTATTCAAAATATACAACAGATATGATGTAAATTATTATAGCAATTATTGGGGCAGTACACATTTTCATGTGGCCTGCAAATACGGCTGCGACATAATCGTTCGGGAATTCTTCAAGTTTAATCAAAATCCAAATTGCTTCTGTCGAAAATCACACGATTCGCCGCTACACTTGGCTCTGCAGAATTCCTGTCACGGAAACAGAAAGACGGTGATCGAATTGCTACTAAAAAACGGCGCCGACCCGAATTCAGCGAACGCAAACGGATTGACGCCTCTGCATGTCATTTGCGAGGATGAACGCGACGATCTAGAATCGACAAAGATGTTATTCGAGCTCAGCCAAAAGCAATATCGACCGCTACAGATGAACGCTCTGGACGGTACGGGTAACGCACCTGTGCACTGGGCTCTGCAAAGCGGCAGCGAGAAGGTGTTCCTATTGCTGCTGGAAAGAGGCGCTGATCCGAGCTTAGCCAACAAGGAAGGGTTGACACCTCTGCACATCCTTTGTAATCAGGAGCCCGAAAAGTTTGATTTGGCGAAAAAGTTATTCAAACTCAGCCACGACAAAAGTCAGCCGCTCAAAATCGATGCCCGGGACAGTAGAAATCGAACACCGTTTCACTTGGCATTGCAGCGCGGACGCAAGAAGATTGCCGAACTGCTGGTGACAGAAGGCGCCGATAAAAATTTGCCCGATGAGAACGGATTGCCCCCCATCCATATGTGCCTTAGAAGCGACGATAGTGATTTCGTGAAGATATTGTTCAAAGTTAGCGACAAAAAAAATCTGCCGGTGCAAGTTAATGTATGTTATGATAATTACACGCCACTGCAATATGCCGTGGAAAATTGTTTGCTGGACGTGGTCGAACTACTCTTGGATCATGGCGCTGGTCTGTCAAATTTAGTTTTTCCCCCCGCGAGTTATTTTGTCAAGAAATCAGAACTGAAACATTATCCAGACATCGAAAATAAAAATACTGTAAAATTAATGATAGTGTCTGGCACTCTGGTCATCGCCGAACGTCTCGAAAAGAATGGATATGAATTTGACCGAAGCAAAGCACTAATGATCATGAAAGTTTTCGATAAGCAGGAAATGTTCGATAAACCGGCGATGGCTGTTAAAAACCGTTTGTGTGCAGACACAAAGTTTGTGAGCAAAGCGAAAAAGATAGCGATGAATTCGAGCCTATCGCTCTACGAACTGGTTGAGTTACAACCCGAAAAGGCGGATAAACAACTCACATACAAGGACTACTTCGATTTTGCGCGCAAAAAAAAATTAAAGAAGCTCGACCCGAAGCATCAAGAGGATTGTGTTTTGCATCTGGGAGAGATAATGTCGAGAAGATTTTTCCGGCGATGGGCACAGGAGGCTATAGGATGCAGGATCATCGATAAAGTCATCACGAACAAAAATCTATATCATTTTTGCTTGAAGCCTCCGAGCCAAAACTCGAAATAGCAGTAATCGTATTTTCCGTCTTTCTCCATGTTTGATGTCATTAAATTTCGCATATTTTTCATACTTCGCATATTATTTTAATAAATAAACTCGAAAAAAAAATAAATTACGATTTTTTTATTGATAAGCCTTTAAAAATGTATAACTTAAATATCTCAAATCGTGTGTTTATTACCACAGTACCTTATCGAAATGAAAGTTCAAATACTCGAAAAAATCTCGAGTTTCAGAAAAAACATTCGGCAACTCCAACATTTCTCAAAGTAAAAAACTGTAAAAATCGACTACTCGCACACTCCTCATTCATGTTATCTAATTAAAGAGATAAATATTCGATGGAAAAACTGAGAATAGATCGTCAAAAATTAAACATAAAATTGAATGCAGCAAATTTTTCCTGTTCGGTCATTATTTCCTTTTTATCCACTCAAAATAACACTTTCGGAGGAACGAACCATGTATACATGCAACATATATCGGTATTACATTATTAAACGTGCCGCCACGCACGCGGCTCGCTCGCTCGACTTCCACCGCGCGCTCGCGTCAATTAGGACTCTTTGGGGATATGAATGACGCGCGCGCGCCTGCAGTTTCGAAATTTTCTTGAATGAAGCGCGCGCGAGCATGCATAACTCGTTATATTACGCACGCGAGCGAATTGCCTCGCGTTTTACGCGCGCTCGATCTTGTATATTTAAAAAACGTTGGTATTACACCTTGGATACTCACGGTGTATTATTGTACGCGCGTGTCTGCGTACACATACGCTCGTTACCGCGAGCGATAATTCAACTCGGTGCCGAGTGTACACACAGTGTGCGCGATATAAACTCCAAGGAGATGAGCTCTACTCGATGCAAATGTGTATCGTGAACGGAGTTGTAAAACATAATATCGAGCTGCAATGAATTTTCGCGTGATTTATGGATATCCTTGCCGCGCAGCCACCGACGAGACGTCATTATATACCCGCGTGAGTAAACTTTTTTTTGTCGCGTCAATGCGCAGAAAACAGATTACCACGCGGCCGGCCCAGGATATAATGACACGCTTTGACCCTCGGAAATCGCTACCACCTCGAAGCTTTATTTCGCGTGCACAGCTCCCTCGTTATTTTTAGTTGAACTGAATGTAACTTTTACCTCGTCCTCGCTGCTGCATCGCTCGAGTTCTCTTCGCAAGATGAGCCAGGCAAGGTCGACAACTTCGCCGAGGAAGGTTATTCTCTCTTGAAAAAGGGTCTCTCGCTCGTAAAATTCAATATTTTTCTTTTACTCGTTGCTGCGTGTGCGGCGTGGGCGCGAGATCGTGGCTTACTTTTGGCAGCTGCGATCGTGCAAGGGTTATTTTCGTCGTACAAAGCTCGTACAAGATAAGCCGCGACGACGAGTGTTCTTGATATTATGCAATGTATGCATTATATGCAGAAAATTTGTGAACGCACTCGCAATGCACAGATAAAAGTTTAATGCTTTACACGAGTTCGAAAGGCAAATATTGCACGATTGCACAGATGTTGCCATTGTTTGTTAGTGTAAAAAGTTATGAGCATAAAAAGTTTTCTGTGTTAATACGTGCCACTTGACCGATATAGAAATTTTCGCTTTATAACGATAATTGAGAATTGACGATACAGTTGAGAACTTTTTTCAAGCTCTTTAAAGAATCACTGTTAAAACAACACGTTATTTTTTCAATTGAAGAGGCATCTTATATTTCAAACTTCAAATATGATACTAGATCTTAGTCAATATACGTTGAGACATTTTTTAATTTCTACTTTTTTGGTAATAATATACTATTCATAGAAAAATTTTTACAAGTCATTAGACATGAGATACATTATGAAATATTCTTCATTATTACAATCAAGTTTTGCTTCGTTTACGTTGATAACTTCGAAACTTCATGACATTATTTGTAAATATTTTTATATTAAACGTAAGTTACACAGAAAGATTGACGAAGGCCAATGAATTGTTATATTTTTGAAAACTCTGTGCGACGAACTTATTCGACAACTGCCACCAACTCCTCATATTGTTTATATCTGTGTAGCGTAGCGCTATGGTGTGGTGCACGCGAAACACTGTGGCGGGCAACGCACGCAGGTCATGCACGCGACGCTAGATGTAAACAACATAAGACGAGCGCACACAGCTCTATGATCATCATCAGTTTTTCCGTGTACTTGGCTCGATCGACACAGAGAGGTTAATTGTTAAAACAGTTCCAAGTGAGAAAAATGGAATCCGGTGATATACTTGATTGCGCCATCAGGTAATTTTCATTTTATGTGAATGAAATTATACAAATTTTATGGTCAAATACTTGATTTTATTGGGGTTATTTCAGAGTGAAAAACGAGCCTAGAGATGGGTTGCTCAGTGAAAATAATTGTGATATGATTGACGAGAAACCGGATCTTAAAAGTGTTCAACTCTTACAATTTCTGCGAGAAAACTCAGTAAGCCATGGTGATTATGTACGTTAATTGCATTGTACTTTTGTGTAACTTGTATTTAATTTTTCCACAGGCTCATATCCATCGTAGTTGCGACATTACGTTTGAAAAAGAACTTGATGAGGAATTGAAAATTACCTTTGAATGTGAAGACGTCAAGCCCAACGTTGGTTCATTAGCATCTAAGAAAATTGACCACTTGAAGGGTTTGAAATATAGCGATGATTTTAAAACTGAACGTATAATTAAAATAGAACCCTTGGATGAAGTGAAACAGGAATTTTTCGGCGATAAAGCTACGATATTGAGTTTCAATCGTGGACTCAACGGAAAAAATGAAAAAATTACGAAAAAGTTTAACAACAAAAATAGACTCAAAACACACGTTGGCTCGATTAATAAAGGTAAAAGTCATTCGTGTCAAATATGCGGAAAGAAATTTGCAAATAAGTCTAATCTGAATAGGCATGTCAAATCATCGCATGATCACATCACACATGCATGTGATGTATGTAAAAAGACATTTTCACTAAAAAGTAATCTCAAAATCCACGTAGATTCAGTACACAATCGTGTCACGCATGCATGCGATATTTGCGGCAAGACATTTTCACAAAAAAGTAATCTCAAAATGCACATAAATTCAATACACAATCGTGTCACACATGCATGCGATGTATGCGGCAAGACATTTTCACGAAAAGATCATCTCAAGACCCACATCGATGCAGTGCATAATAGTCTCACTTATAAATGCGATACATGCGGCAAGTCGTATACTTATAAACATCATCTCAAGACCCACGTAGATGCAGTACACAATCGTGTCACACATGCATGCCGTATATGCGGCAAGACATTTTCACGAAATAGTCATCTCAAAATCCACGTAGATTCAGTACATAATAGTCTCTCTTATAAATGCGATACATGCGGCAAGTCGTATACTTATAAACATCATCTCAAGACCCACATCGATTCAGTACATAATGGTCTCACTTATAAATGCGATGTATGCGGTAAGACATTTTCACAAAAAGATAATCTTAAGAAACACATCAGGACCATGCATAATAAAATCACTCACCCATGTGATATATGCAAAAAGAAATTCCCAGATAAAAGTAATCTTTACAAACATATAAATTCAACGCACAATGGTATCAGATATGCATGTAGTATATGCGGGAAGAAATACTCCCAGAAAGGTGATCTCAAAAACCACATCGATTCGGCCCATAATGGCATCACACATACTTGCAATATTTGCAGAAAAAATTTTTCATGTAAGAGTGCTCTTAACTTCCACATAAATGGTATTCATAATGATACAACATTTGCATGTGATATTTGTGGAAAGGAGTTCTCAAACAAAACTAATCTTCACAAACATATCAATTCGATGCACAATGGTATCACGCGTGCATGCGGTATTTGTGGAAAAAAGTCCTTGGGTAAGAGTAGTCTCAAAAGACACATCGATACGATTCACAATAGTTTCAAACTTGCATGTGATAAATGCGGCAAGACATTTTCCCAAAAAAGTAATATGAAGATCGACATCGATGAGGTGCATAATAAAATTAATCGCACATGCAATGCCTGCGGAAAATATACGTAAGAAAGTCGAGTCTCAAAGCTCACGTTAATGCGGTGCATCATTCACGCATCGCAACTTAGTGAACGTATAAAATTTAATTAATATGTTCAGAAGACAAATTCAAAAATGTTCATTTATAATATATTTTAAACAACGTTTAAGTCTGAAAAAGACATCAATAAACTTTTGAAAAAAAATGAAGTACATTATTAAGTGTAAGCTAATAATATATTAGACCCTTTAAGTTGATGTCAATTTTATAATGTCAGACACTTTTCGGCACGATTTACAGGCAAAATTGATTGTTTCGCGACGATACATACGTTTATGGGAACTATTAATAGGGTTTAGCACATCCATTTTTTATAAGCGGATCAATAAAAAGTAGCTTCGTTAAAATAGCAGTATACATCATTGATTTTTCATCCAAAATGAAATGAATTCATGTGTTTATGTAATAAGTCAACTTTTTTTTTCATCGGCTCTCATAAATATTCAGAAGTTTTTAACCATAGAGAATTTCTTATTTAAGATAAGTCTATAATAAATTAGATCAACTGCAGAGTTCGAGAAATTCCCACTGCAAATAAAAAGGTCAAAAGCGTGCAATCGTAGAAAAAGCTATATTTACGACGATTGTTAGAAAATTATAAATTCCAATGGTATTAGAATAGGCAAAGCCGGGGGAAATCCAAAAACTCGTTCGTCCTTGTACCCCAAAATATTGAAATTGAAAAAATTTAAAAGTCTTGACGATTAATTAAAATTTGAATCGAATCTTTTTTTTATAGCCAAAAAGTCTTTTTATCTATTTTTAAATTAATCAGAATTCAAATTAAAGCATCTACTTATGTGGAACAATGTCGTTGGCGGCCTACACTCAATTCGAAAAAGCATCGAAATCTTCTTCGAAACGAGTGCATCTATCCATTAAAAAAATACGCTCATTAACTGCACATTAGCCGCTCGGGCAAATCCTACCAGCGTAAAAAAAACAAAGAGAGAAAAGAAGAAGAAGAAGTAAAAGAGAAAAACCAAAGTTGGATTTTCTGTGAATCAGCGCACATCGCATCGTGTAATATCGCGCGCGGCAATCTTACATGACGAAAAATATAAATCATACACATTACAGGCGGCCACACATATCGCCGCACACACATTAGATAGAGATAGAATTCCGCGCGAAAAAAAAATTACCCAGAATAGAACTGTGTGCGTCTAATAGCTATGCCTCTATGACTCTCGGTACGTGTGTATGCGTGTTTATAAATACATGCGTCCGAAGTTGGTATGCGCGCATACCTATATACATACAATACATCGCGCGCAGAGCGTAAATCGTTGATCAGGCGCCGATGATCGCTGGAATACCCCGGAGCGATCCGCGCGCATATTAAAATCGTCACCGCGGGTCCGATTCTCTTATATAAAGCTCCGGCCAGGCCGGAAAAGCTTCAGTTGATACGTCCGATTGACTCGGTGCAAATCTCAAGTTCGCGCTGTTTGTTTTGTTTTTCGACCGGACGCTCGAGTAGCATTAGTCGCGAGTTCGATCGATCGGCATTAACAATGTGGTTCCACAAGTGCACAGTGCCACTGGTGTTGGTATTATTTTTAAGTTGTGTATCGGCGTCACCCCATGGTAATTATTTTATTGTTCAATATTTATACTTTCTCAATTGTATTTTTCTACATTTTTGGAAAATTGATGGCATTTTAGTTATAAATTTTAATTTCATCTTTATTGTATGAAAAAATTGTTGATAATATGAAACTTGAGCTGCTTTGCTGTCAATATAAGTTGCGAAAAACTCTTCAATCGATCTAAAATAAAAATAAGTCATAAAGAGATATCGACTTGAGTTGCATCGTTACATTGCTCCTATCATTGAAAAACGTATCGCAAATCATTGGCATTATAGTTGAAGATATTTTTGTATCGGATTACATTGCAATCATTAACGAGACACGTTGTTAACTTTGACAAACAGGTCTTCTCGGTCATCTCCTTGAGAAGCATGTGGAGCGTCATCCAACGGGTATTCTGAGCTCGTTGATGCCGAGCAATCAACAAACGGCATCGGCCAGCTCATCCGCTTCCAGCTATGCTTCTGGCTCCTTCAATCTAGGCCCTCTGTCGTTGACGGGAAATGTTGCAAACGCCAATGCCAATGCGTACAGCTCGGCCAGTTCGAGCGGAAGCGGTTACGCCTCGGCAAGTTCGAACGCGGCCGCCAACAGTTACGGAGGATACTCGAACTCGAACGCCGCGGCTGAGGCGCAAGCTCAGGCCCAAGCTCAGTCGCACGCCGCAGCCGATGCCCAGGCCCAGGCTCAAGCCGAAGCCTACATCAAGGCTCAAGCCGAGGCTCAAGCGCAAGCTGCGGCTCAAGCTCAGGCCCAGGCCCAGGCCTACGCCAAAGCCCAAGCCGAAGCTCAAGCTGCGGCTCAGGCTCAAGTTCAGGCTCAGGCTGCCGCCCAGGCCCAGGCCCTGGCCCAGGCTAAAGCCCAAGCCGAAGCCGAAGCCTACGCCAAAGCTCAGGCCGAAGCAAAAGCTCAAGCTCAAGCGCAAGCCCTAGCCGAAATGAAAGCTCAGGCCCAAGCCCAGGCCCAAGCTCTGGCTCAAGCAAAGGCCCAAGCCGCGTCACAAGCGGCTGCCCTGGCCCAAGCTCAAGCTCAGAACCAGGCCCAGGCGCAAGCCTTGGCTCAAGCGAAAGCCCAGGCGAGCGCCACGGCGAGCTCTCAAGCGCACGTACCGGTACAGGGCGTCGCTCAAGGCCACCAACCCGTACTCGTGCATCAGCCCGAAGTAGTCAAGCCTCAGCAAACTCAAACGGTCTACGTGCCAATCGCCATCGTCGAGGTGCCCGCCAAGCACAAGCCGCACCACGGCGGCCGTCGCCCCCATCATCCCGGCCGCGGAAAGCCCGGCTACGAGTACAATCCATTCTTTAACGGAGGAGCCAATTCCAATTCCATTGCCAATGCCAATGCCAATGCGGCATCTTCAGCGGGTGCGAATACCGTGCAGCAGCAACCCATCTACACCAGCCAGCCTGTGGTGCCACAGCCGCAGCCACTGCCGCAACCACAGCCTCAACCGTCTTACCCTGTGCAGTCCTCGGGCAATGCCAATGCCAATGCCAATGCCGCCGCTTCAGCCGGCGCCACGTCGGGTGCCAACAACGCTGTGCAGCAGCCGAGCTACGGTCCAGCTCAGACCTATCCTACGTACCCACCCGCACAGACCTATCCCGGCAGTTATCAATTTCAACCTTCTCAAGGAAGTGGCACTGCATCTGCTGGCGCCACCGCCAGTGCCAATAGCAATGCCAATTCCAACGGTAATGCCAATCAAAATTACTTGGATGGATTGGCGGCTCTTGGCGCCCCCAGCACAGGATCCCAAGGATACCCCGGCGCTGGATCTGGTTATTACAATAACCAAGCTGCACCCTCTCAGGTTCAGTATCCTGGCTCGCAAGCGAATGCCGGTAAGTAAAAATCAATCATCATTTTTAATTCAGTTTTAAACCTCGACGGTCATGCTTACGATCGATTTTTAGGGGCAAACGCCGCCGCCAGTGCCAGCTCCGGTGCCAGCGCCAGTTCCAGTGCCACGGCAACGGCGACCGCCAACGCCGGCGCCCACAGCAACACGCGCTCCTCTGCGACTGCCACGGCCTCGGCCTCGTCGGCCAGCGGTAGCTTCGGTGGTTTCGGCCTGAACAGCCGCTCCGACGACGACGACACCAGAGATAGGCTCATCTTCCGCGACTAAGATACACGTCGCGCTTGAAAGTGATCGTAACATATAATACGGACGTGATAAGATTATATACAAGTGTCAAAGTTCGATGCGCTGTGCGCCGCTTTCTTTTCTCTCTTCGTAATACTCGTTTGCCTGATTTTTGACTGCATGAGAGGTGTGAATCCTTATTTGTTCTTTTTTTTTTTTTTTAATTTTTTTTCTCACGAGTTTGTTGATATTGAATGTTCCGATAATGAGTGTACAATGAAGTAGTGTCGAATAAGATGTTTTTGATAAACAAAATCTATATAGGCATTCACTTTTTCAGAACGATACGACGTTGCTGCAAAAAGTGCAATTGTATACTGTATAATAAAATTTAAAATTAACGTAATTTAGAACGAACGTATCGGAATACGATCGTCTCTCTGAAACTTTTTCGTGCAAAAAGATTGAGTGAGATTATAATATATATAAATATAACTTAAGTTTTTTTGTAAACAATTGTAAAAAAAAGGAAAAAAAAATAACCCGACAAGGTCAAGTCATTTAAACAACGTATTAAAGTTAGTAATGATTCCGCATTATACGATACTGGTATTTCATTTCCTCGTCCCAAGCATCATTTTTACACGCGGCGATCATTTATATTGCCGACAACGACGCGCCTGGGAAATTCGCGATGATTGATTGCAAAATACGAAATATATGATTTTTTTGTGCAGCAACTTTTTCGACGATTTGACGCGCATTCGTGCACACACACGCACACTCACACATACGTTTGAATAATAAATTATCTTTTATTGAAGAAGAAGTAATAATGGTTATTACATTATTATACAATTTTATTTGTTTATGTTGCATTCTTCTTACATAATTCGAAATTATGGCAAAAAAAAATGAGTTTACAAAAATTCTAATCCCTCGTACTTGTCGTTGTCGACTTTCAGATCGGGCATGAGAATTTTGCCCTCGGTGTTGAATACGGTTATGTAGGTGGCCGTGTCGTTCTCCAGCTCCTTCGTTTTCAACGCGACGATTACTGTGTCGTTGGTGCCGGGCAAAAATTTGAAACTAGAAAATCCTCGGATGTTCACGTGGCCACCGATCAAAATTGCCTGAAACGCGGACACGTAAATGTAATAAAAATTGATGGAGATACGAAGCTCAAAATTTCATAATACCTGAACATTTTCAAACGTCTCGTCGGCAATTAAGAGGACGTTGCAGCTCCTCGACTCGTTTTTATCTTTGTTGTACTTTTCCTTGGAGCATCTTCGCGGAAGGAAAAACCACTTTTTGCGAGTGTCGCTCCACACGCCGGACTCGTGAATGACGTAACCTGTTTAGTGTACAGTTATAACAGAACGATGAGTTTTTCAAATAGATAGACACCAAGCATCGCTCTATTGTACCTGGTGGCTCGATGTCTATCGCCTTAGCCAAACGTTTGTAATTGGACGTCCAATTGTAGGCCTGAACCTCGCCCCGAGGCGACACCACTTTGATCCAGTAGGGATCGTTGCTGACGAATTCACCCTTGGAGGTGGTCTTTTCTTTGCCGGTACTACCGACGTACAGCTGATTGTCTTTCACGGTGGCCCACTCAGCCTTGAATCCTAAGATCGATCAATATTATTTCGGTACAAAAAATCGTCAGGTATTACCAAATTTTTAAACAGTGTCGAGAAAAAACCTTTCGAGCTCTTTCCGTTCCCGTCCATCAGAATAACCCAGGGGTAAGCGTTGTCGCCCTCGAAATAATAAATCACGCCTGTTCGATCGTCGAACGTGAGCAATCTGCCGTCGAAGACGACCAGCTCCGAGAACTCCATGCCGCGGCCCTTCATGTTCAGAGTCGTGGAGAAGGTGGTCACCCCCTTGTCCCACTTTACCGACACCTCGTTCTTGAGCGGGTGCCAGGTGAGCTGGCCCCTCTTCAGGTGACTGCGCCACAGGTCCTTCTTCGACTTCTGCCTCGAGTCCTCGTCCAGATCGCTGATCATACCGATGCTGAACTTGATCTCGTCGTCTTTCCTCACCGCGGGAGTTAGCGGATAGCTTCGATTGTAGGCGTACGCGTCGGTCGTGTCGCACGCCGATCTGATGCCCCTGACGTGACCTGAAATTTTTATCATATTTTGCACTGAATTTATAGAGGTCACACGAGAAAAAAAAATTCGTAGTACCTAATACCACGACAACGATAAAGTACTATTTTAATTAAAGTTTTTTTTTGATAATAAATAATTTATGTGAACGATTTTTCGCGAAATTCCAGAAATTCTGTTTGGTTCAAAGAATTTTTTATTTTATTCAACTAAATATTTGTTCAAATTTGCTTAGCATGCACATTTGACAATGCTTATTTTGTTGAAATAAACTAGTAGCAGGTACTTTGAATTTTTTTCGGTGTATAATTCAAAATAATTTACATTATACTCGTGAATGATTTATTGCTCGTTTGAAGTTCAATTATTGCATGTAAAACTTTAAACTTTATTCTTTTGTTTTTACAAGAGAAAGTGATTCTTCAAGTGTAAGCAATTAGTTTATTGGTTAGTTACAAATATATTAACATACATTTACATAATAATTATTTTCATATCCGAAGAAACCTCATTCATTATTAACTTTTTACAGAGCGAGTGAAATCGACACAAATATTTCACCATAACAAATCCCAAAAAATACCGATTATCACATCTTATGAACTTTATACACGGTGAAATAAAAGAAATGGCTTCAAAGTGTCATCAAAATAAATGCGTGATAATTGACATGTGTTTAAAAACTTATGCACTGAGAAAGAATGATTGAACTATGATAATTTTAATAATTGACTCGATTTTTATTTATTATTGCTGCAATGAAGAGTTTTGACCTACCAACTTTCAATTCAGTAATTAATAACAATAATAATAAATAATAAAAATATATTATACTTTGTGCGATTATTGACATGACGCAAGCTTAAGACACACACATAAGTAAGACACGACAAAAATATCTTCAAAATAACAATCGTACTGAGTATTCACATGGATATATTTACATAAATAGGATCTCGCAATGAAGCAAGCGTATATTATTATATATTATTAAAACAGACATTCCGTTGAGTATTACATTTTTTTTCATAAGTACTTGGTAAATATTTTTTTTCTTCCGAGTTGAAAACAACTCGATCTTCCTTCTAACCTGTTCCGTCCCTAACTATCACAAATATTAAATCATTATAAATATTACAATATTACAAATATTATATTTTCCCTATAATTGATTCTCCGTCGGAAAAAAACGAGTCTATTCAAAACAGGCCGTCGTCAGCGGATGCCGACGCGGACGCGGACGCAGCGGCTTTCGATCTGCCGAATCTGCCCGAGTACGAGTGAGCTTTGGCGGCAGCCGCGGCTTTGCGATGGGCGAGCTTGGCGCGTTTGGCCTGGGCACGAGCGTGAGCGTGAGCACCTGAAACGAGACGAAAACAAAAAAAAAACGTGTAAAGATCAATGAATTCGTTGTAAAAAAAGTCGAGGATTCGACTATCTCAAAGTGGACTTACCGGCATGACCTAATTTGCCGTGGCCGTGGCCAAGCGCGTGAGCGTGGGCATGAGCGACCGCAGTGGCATGAGCTCCTCCGGTCGGCACGATGGGCACAGCGAGGGGATCCGAGAGGAAGGGAATGGGTGTGGGAGAATAGACGATATTGGCGTTGGCCGCGGCATTGGCCGAAGCCGACGAGTGGCCGAGACCGTGACTGTGAGCGTCGGCGTTAGCGGTGGCCGACGAGTGACCGAGACCAAGACCGTGAGTATGAGCATTGGCATTAGCCAGAGCGGATGAGTGACCGAGACCACCAGCGTGGCTGTGAGCATCGGCGTTGGCAGCAGCCGATGAGTGTCCAAGACCATGAGTATGAGCATTGGCTAGAGCGGACGAGTGGCCGAGACCACCGGCGTGACTGTGAGCGTCGGCGTTAGCGGCGGCCGACGAATGGCCATGACCGTGACTGTGAGCATCGGCGTTGGCCGAAGCCGAGGAGTGGCCGAGACCGGCGTGGCTGTGGGCGTCGGCGTTGGCCGAAGCTCCGGAATGAGCCGGGGTGAAAGGCAGGAGCGGTACTACCGGAGCAGCGGCGGATCCGGCATTGGCGAAGGCGTTGGCGTTGGCGTGGCTGTCGACGACCGGTACCACGGGTGCTGGGAGCGGTACGTGAGGGATGTGACCCACGGGTTGGTGCACGGGAAGGGCATGAGCGTCGTGGAGAGCGTTGGCCTGGGCGAAGGCGTTGGCGTTGCTTCCGGCCACTGGACCGATCGGCAGACCTAAAATAATTGAAACAATAGATATTTATTAATACGTTGCCAAGTGGGATTCAAAACGTATAGACATGCGAAACAATAATGAGTTTTACACAAACTACAATAGATATTAGGTAATATAGCATGGGTACAGGATCACGTCTTGTTGTGTCCTTCGTGAAAATCATGCACGATCTGTCCAGATGAGCGTGCACAACAAGGATAACTGAGGCTTGGATATACATTTAAGAGTTAAGCTTGAACTGGATTTGGCTAATAATAGATTAAAGACCACAAACTATGCAAAAAAAAATTAATTCGGCTTCGGCGAGGAAATTTGTCTCACCTGAAGCAGTGAACGAGTGGCTTCTTCGGTGGACGGATGTGTGACTCTTTATGAATGGACCGTTCGATCCGACGAGAGCCATTGACTCCATTGAGTGAGAGAGAGAGCTATCCCAGTACGATTGCCATTTTTTTTTGTCGTCGTGTGCGTCGTGTGTCGTCGAGTCGAGTCGTTTTTTCTTCGCTTGTATATAATTTTGCATTACATGATATCATGATGTCGATCGATTTAGACGTTTACAAAACGTCGTGTCGAACAATCGGTCTTTCGAGTGATTTCTGTCTTCGTTATGGTTATTATAAAAGTACATTGTCGAAAAATGAGGTTTCACTAAACATAACATCAGCTTACAGCTAAATTAACATTATGCACACGTCGTGTGGCTTAAGATCTAAAAATCTTAATAACTAGGAAACATTGGAATGATATGAAACGTAAATACAAATGAAGTTTTTTTTTGTTGCCGAAAATAAATCCCAAAAAACAACAATTTTTGAATTAAAGATTTCAAAATTTTCCCTTTTTACATCTTCTCGAATATTTCTCTGATTTTTAGTATTTTAAGAGCACGCAGAATCAATACTACCAATGTTAATACTTGTACGCTCGAATTTATCTTATGAACTAGCATATGCACACACTGCATGGACTAATAGTCGTAGTACTCGCCGCCGTATCCACCGGGACGGCCGTAATAGCCGCCACCAGGGCTACCGCCGTACTGTCCGTAAGGACTTCCCCCGTAGGGACTGCCTCCGTAGGGCCCCAAGCCCTGATTGTAACCGCCGTAACCGCCGGGACCGAATCCGCCGTAATTGTTATTACCTTGGCTGTTGGCCTGAGCCGAAGCCTCGGCGTTGGCGGCCGAATTACCGCCCCCGTAGAAGCCAGGGTATCCACCGGCTTGGCTGTTGGCTAGAGCCGAGGCCTGGGCATTGGCGCCGGAGTTGCCGCCGTAGCCGCCTCCGTAGGGCGAGAGTCCACCCGCGTTGCCGAAGCTGTTGGCGTTGGCCTGAGCCGCGGCTTGGGCGCCGGAATTGCCACCGCCGTATCCACCGCCGTAGGGCGAGAGTCCGCCGCCGTTACCGAAGCTGTTGGCGTTGGCGTTGGCTACGGCTTCGCTGGACGCACCACCGGCACTGCCGAGCAGACCACCGCCGTTGGAGCCGGCGTTGGAGTGGGCATTGGCGCTGGCGCTGTTGATAGAGCCGGAGAAGCCGATCGGGCCCAGATGGAAGCCACCCTGCAGCGAGGTGGTCTTGCTGCTGGCGTCGGCGCTGGCGCTCGAGCCGCTGCTGGGGTGGTGGAACAGACCCAGAGGGTCCAGTACAGTTCCTAGGCCGCGACCTTCGCTGAATATGCCTGCGAATCCAAGACGAGCAAAGTTAATTTTTTTCCACTTATGGAAGAAGTCTTCGTCGCTGCGCTGTTATTGCGAACGCGAGAGTAATTGCCGGACAATACTCGCTTTCTTTTTTCACGCGCAAAGGTGTGTCGCGCTCGACAAACAAAGGAAACATGTGAAAAAGCCCGATGAGGTCTCCGGCTAAATTTAAACAATTTTAGCATTTCACAGTGTGCACACGATCTTCGTTGGCTACTTATATAATCATTTCATGCAGATATCTGAAAAATTCAGACCGACGATCCTAAAGAAACTTGCAAAATCATTCGCCTCTGAATTAAAATCTCATTTAAAAATCGATTAAATTTCTTGAACGATTCGTTCATTTAGCCGATTGAGAAAGCAACTCGCTAAATATATTTGCTTTCGTTACACGTATCATCCAGAATGGCAAAATTAAAAATTTAAATGTGTGACATTTGTGACATTTCCCCTTTTCACGCGCCTACTTTGAATGGAATCAAGCGCGTTACGTGATTTGTTTTTTCTTCTATTTTAATGATATCTATTGAAAATACTTTTCACTGTTATATTAAATTATTTTTATTGTTTAAATAAAAATAAAAATTTTTTAACTATCGCGTCAATTGGTAAAAATGCAGAACAATCACGAAATCGTCACTTATATGATTGATTCTAATTAGCTGATGATAACTCACCAGGTCTGGCCGAGGCACTAGATACCAATACTAACACAACTAATGGCACTATGCACTTGAAGTAACCCATTTTTGCTTCGCTCTTTGTACCGACGAAACGAGCAAAAAAAATTATTCTTCGAAACAAAAAACAACGTCTATACTTTGAAAATGGGACCGCTTTCGCGAGCGCGCGGCTTCGAACACTGGAGTCAAACTAAAATTTTCACTGTCGAGCAGCATCTTTATATACAAGACGTCCGTGACTTCATGGCAGGCGCTCGTCAATGACCTAGACTTGTTTTCGAATAACTTCTCACTCTCTTTTTCAGAGTCTGTCCTCTTCTCTTCTTCTCTCTCCTCTTTTAATTTTTTGCTTCGTTCCTTTTTCATTTTGCCGTGGCGATTCTTCACCGCTGATTTACATTGATATCATTTTTTTTCAATTTCTATATACGCGACCGAGGCTATGCTAATTATGGAAATAATTTTATGAAGAATTTATCCTCGTGCAGGCAAAGGTCATTAACATGTTTTTAATTAGACACTCGAAACACTTTATTTTCTTATATATATATATCTTTTTAGAAGAAAGTCGTAACTTAAGTACGGTAACGACGTATGGGTTTATGATACATTGTCCTTGCGCAATAGCAATGAACTGTGCAAAAAATAAAAGGAGAAATTTCTTCTCGGGCTTTCCGTGATTTGCAAACATAAATACAATGTAACTATTTAAAAGTTCGATATTTTCAGAATTGAAAAGCTGAATTAACTGTACAATGGACTAGTAATATTTGCCTGTATTAAGTATCAATAAATTAATTAGCTCAATTATTTAATTGTTACCATACAGATTGAACTAAAAATGCTGACGAATGATTTTGCTATTATTACGAAATTTTTTACCACGCCTGTCTAAAAGCGTTTATGTAAGACAACATATGACTCTTTGAAGTAACCAATTCTGACTTGCTTTATAGAAACCCCCGTTGTTTTATTCTTACACATGTGTTTGTACACGAATTTATTATTAATATATGTGTATCTTGTACTTATTATACGATCAATTGAACATGAATCGTATTGAAATCGTTTCCATCCATACAAAAATCAGCATGATTATATTTCATTAAAAATTAGGATACGAATATGAAAGATATTCTTCATCCGAAACGCAAAAATATCTTCATAATAAGTAAACATCTTTACTTTCAATTTTTATCCTTATAACAAAAAAAAAACAGGATTTCCTCCTATATCAAGTAAAAATAGCTTCTGACAAATGGCGCTAAAATATTTTCAAAGTTTCGAGTTAGAATTCCCCAAGAATGCACACGACGAAAATTGCAAAACGCGCACAAGTAGACCGCGGATTCACCGCAAAATTGGCTATCGGTCATACGTGCGTATGTCCACGTCAAGTTGGCCACCTGATAATTAAAATGTAAGAATCGCGACGATCTCACCGCGGATCATTATAAAGTGTGCCGAAACACAGCCCTGAATGCTAAAAGATCGGTACCGCGCGCGCGCGTAGTTTCCCATTTGCGCGATCGTGAATCATCTATCCTGCGAAATACTTACTTTTACATTTCACATTTTTGATACATATTTTGGCTCGACGCACGTGAGCGCGTGCGACCCGCCGACGATATGTAACGCGGATGTGAGAGATCAAAATTTTTCGATACGTCTTAGAAAAAAAAATTAGTATTCCAAGCGATCGTTTGGAATACTCGAACGATCGGCGACTACGAGTGGGAAAGTCTGTTATTGTTTTGACCGACGAAGCGTCCAGCTCACAGGAAGAAGATTGCAAAGATCATTCTAATGGAGATATTTTTGTTATGTATTGAACACGAGTGCGTCAAATTTTTTTCAACCATTTATTTTTATTTACATGTATGCGTTTAGCTGATAAAACTCTTACAACATCAATAACATAAATAACAAGATTACGTATATATTTGTTCCATTTTATAATATTGTATTCCTCTTGACTTTTGATAAAATTTTTTAAACCTACCGAAAGGTCGAAATCACACGCATAAGCCGCATTACTTATGGTTACATTTATCAATAATCTATGTGCAAGGATAACGCATGTAATTTTATAAAATTAACAATTAAATAACTATAGATAGAAGATTCGTTATAAAATATTATTGTCAGTTCACTTTGTTTCAATAGTATGTGCTATTCTTAATTGAATGCGTGGCTTGTAAGCAAAATATGTGATAAGTAGTTGGCCAATGTTAGTTCATACAATGATGACCATTGCACCGATCATCGTCAACGAGTAAAATTTTTATTGATATTGACTGTGTTTTCGATAGGCCACGCACCAGTAGCTAATACTACTTTTGATAACGATTTCACCCCTCCCCCACCCCCCTTTTGAAAATATGCCGATATGATCGTTCAACTTTGCTGAGATAATAATACTTTTTATTGCACATTTGAAAACCTTAACGTAAATATTTACGGGTCATCGTCGCTCGTTAGCAAATAGCATTCACAATTATATTGACTGATTATCCTCAAAACTGTTGGGATATGAATGAGCGATATTGTACCGATTGAAAATCGGATGAGAAGCCGCAACATGCATTGCACCAGGTAGATATGTTTTTTAAAAACATTAACACCTAGATATAGAGAGACAAATAATTTGAATATAACAATGATAAATCTTTGAAGAATTTTACATTCGCATATAATATTTTCAGTAAAACATCGGACGCGCTTTTACATAGCTGCACACGACGGCGTATACATCCACAACGGGATCGATAGTCTTTGGAAAATTTATTGTCGCTCGAAATCATTTATCATGTAATAATACGAGTATACATATATTGCATTTGAATATACATTTTTCAGTTTTTTTGCAGCTGTAGTGGCATTTTTCTGTTCAACGCAAGGACGGCGCCCAAGTAAAATCTTTTCTTCAACTATAATACACACAACACTTTCAAGCACCCATAAAGTTGCTATTAAGCCTAAGAAGAACCAAGAGAGATAGGCATAAAACATAGAGCAAAGTAAGCACACTGGATTTGTGCTTTACAACCCTAATTTTCAATTGACTTAGACGAAAAGGTATTTCACGTATGGGAAAAAATGTGCTGCAGATACAATCCGTTCAGCGCATTCAAATAAATCACAGCTTATTAGGCTACGTAGCTATACAAAAATTATCATTAACGTTATATTCATCAGAATAAGACCCAGTCTTTCGAAGTTACTTTATGATAAAATTTCTTTTTTTAATCGATAAAAATTGTACATTAAAATGATCGTCCTGTTACATAAAACAATTGGAACAATTATAAAAATCTAACAAAAAAAAAAAAAAAACAGAGACAAAAAAACAGTTCGAGCTTCCCTAAGTCGACAAGGGCAGGCTTAACACACCGCCACACGCTTTAAGGTAGAGGCGAGGCCGGAATGGTTTTACCATCGGGCGAGGAGGCCGGATCGATTATCGCGTCCGCCTGAGCGGCTTTGCTCGGCGGATCCTTGGCCCTCGATGTCGCGGGCTCCGCTGCGGCGCCAGTGGGCTCTTTGCCCTCGGGATCGCTTCCGCCGTTGTCGCCACCGCCGTTGCCGTTGTTGTTTTTCGCCGCCGCGGCCGCCTCCTGTCGCATCTTCTCGTGATTCTTCAGATACTCAACCACCTGTGAGTGGCCAAAGGTCTCGGCTTCGTCGATCGGTCTGTTTCCCCATCTGCGAATGTTTTGTTTTTTTTTATTTTTATTCAATCATACTTTTCTCGTTTTCAATGTCAATAATGGTAATAACGATGCACGCGGGCGCATTATATACCGCGCGTCATCTTTCATACCTGTCTTTGGGATCGTATGGAACGCTGCACTGCTCGATGAGGAATTCGACGCAATCGAGATGACCTTCGCTACATGCCAAGTGGAGGGCCGTGCGGCCGTCGTAATCGGAAAGCGTCATATCCATGCCGCTCAAACGATGCCTGCGCCATCAAGACGATGTCATTTGCGTATGCGTATAGCGGGGAAAAGAGGAGAAAGAAGAAAAAAAGAGAAGAAGGATGAGTAAAATCACTGTCTATCGTCATCGACACACTCGTTGTTGTTTAACTAAAGTTGATATAATAGCCAGAGAAGCTGCGCAGCTGCTAATTCTTTTTTTTTTTGCAAAACCAGTCCGTCTCACAGAGAGAGATGCCGATTTTTCGTGCGTAAGAGCGATTGTGCAGCACACACACGGCATTATTTATACACATTATGAAAGATGTACGCGGACGTGCGAAACAATCCGATCGATGACCGAGATATATACAGATCGTCGTGTTGCGCGGCGGCTATACGCGCGTGAAACAAAATTAGCATTCGCATTGATGTATATGTAATATGGACTAATGCGCGCGAAGCCGTGTATTTTTGCCCATTGAGATACTTGTGTGAAAGAAATGAAATGAAAAAAAAACGGTATTCGTCGCTTGCGTGCGTATATTAAATATCGACTCACCACTCTAGATCGGCTCGTTGGCTGCGGGCGTTGTTATAATGTTATGCGTATACAATATAATGACGTGCGTGAGTATTTAGTGTCTGGGTGTGTGTGTGTGTGTGCGTCTGCTGACGCTTTTGGTATCAAATTTTTTGCGTCATACCGATATCATAATTATTTACGTCGAGACAACTGTCGTGCAAAGTTCGACCCATCACGCTTTGACAAAATTTGCAAAGATGACAAGAGTATAGAAAAATATATATTTTGAACTTGATCTTGCGACTTTAATCGATCATACGCATCGCGACGAGTGTGTGTCTCGTTTTTCATTTTTTCAGTCTGTGTTTATATTGCGATGTATGATTTTTGAACGCGATATATATTGTTTCGTACCGTGTCGAAAAACCAGTTATTTTTTGTTCGAGACTACAATAGTACAGAAAATCTATTTTTACCATCCGTAATACCGGTTTTTTTCATCGAGTCCATAGCCGAATTCGCCTTGTGTATGTAGCGATCAAGGATAATCTTATATTGACACGCGCTCAGATCAGACATAATCGAAAAAACCGAATCTTTTCGAAACTCGTGACATTCCTCGGATATTCTAAATTTCAATTATATCAATAAAAAGAATACAAAACGCGTATTAGTAATTAATATACATACGATGGAGTGAATTCCTAGCGTGCTTTTTCTAATAATCGTTCCATTGTCGATATACTCAATTAAATAATTTAAAAAAAAAGCCGGAAATTCCATGGAATATAGTGCATGCATACCAGGGGGCCTTTGACATCGACGTCAATCGCGTTATGATGGCAAGAGACGTTGGTAATACCTGCGCAGAGCAGTGACGTCGCCGCTAGCCGCACTGAAGAGCAGATTGACGATGGACAGGCCCTTGGTCTCGTACTTGTGGCGGCGCGGGTCCTTCTTATTGGTCGCGTGCTTGAGATTGTCGTAGCGATGGAAGTTGAACTCGTTGACGAGCTCCTCGCAGAACTGGACGCCGCGGCAGGAGTTTCCCATCGGGTCGAGGGGCGGCGACCACATGCAGATGCCCATCACGTTGGGTATGACCACGAGCATGCTACCCGAGACGCCCGATTTCGCGGGTATGCCGACCTGACCACGATGGTTGTTAATTCGCTATTGATTTTCGATTCGAGAAAATTGGAGAGAATTACCTTGAAGGCGAATTGACCGCTGTAGTCGTACATGCCGCAGCTGTGCATGAGGCTGAGTACGTCGCGCACGCTGTCGGGTTTCAGGACCTTCTCCTCGGTGGTGGGGCAGATGCCGCCGTTGGCCAGGGTGGCCGCCATCACGGACATGGCCTCGCAATTCGACTCCATGGAGCAGCACTGGAAGTAAAAGTCCATGCACTCGCGAAGATTGGTCTTCTCGGGGTAGCAGCCGTGCTCGCGCATGTAGAAGCCGAGGGCGTAGTTGCGATCGGCCGCCTCGCGTTCCGACAGAAAGACGGCGTTGTTGAAGCCGAGATTCTCGCCGCCCGCGAGCCGCTTGAAGTAGTTCATGGTGAAGTCGAACTTCTCGGCCAGGGTCATCTCGGGTTTCACCAGGACCTTGAGCAGGGCGCAAACGAGGATGGCGCCCGCGTTGATCATCGGATTGTGCGGCTTCTTGTTGTGGTCGAGCACGAGCTCGTTGAAGTTGCGCCCCGAGGGCTCCTGGCCGACGTACTGGTGCACGACCTCCTGGCCGAGGCGCTCCAGGGCGATGGCGTAGGTGAGCGGCTTGCTGCACGACTGCAGCGTGAACGGGACGGTGGTGTCGCCGATGCTGAAGCGCTGCCCGTCGATGGTGCAGACCGAGACGCCCCAGTTGTCCGGATTGACGCGCGCCAGCTGAGGTATGTACGAGGCCACCTTGCCCTCGCCGTTGGACTTGCACTTCCAGTAAAAGTCCTCGATGTGCTTGGTGAAGCCCGGAAAGTCGGGGATGATGAACTGATGGCGAAAGGCGCGCGAGATCAGGACGATGTTGGGCGTGATGACGCGCCGGAACTGCTCACGGTCGAGCTTCTGGGTCTCGTGCGAGATGCCCTCGTGGCCGCCCGCCTTCATGTGCTCCTTCTTCAGGTTGTCCGTGAGCTCCTGGAGGCGTGGATCGTTCTTTCGCAGCCCGGTGGTCCTCAAGGCCTGATTTTATAACGATTTAAGGTTTTGACGAGAAATTAGGTTTATGCGTGAACTTACGGCCAAAAATTTTCCGACGTGCAGCAGTCCAGTTTCTTCGTTTTTAAACATGTCGAACATGACATCCTCGGCGTTTGTCGCTTGATCCTGATCTCTTGTACTAAAATCAAAGACAATACGATTGAATTCATATACATGATTCAAAAACTTTGCAATTATATCAATGGTTATAATATTCGTAAAGTTACAAGAGGGAATTCCACGTTAATAATTCATAGTCATGCAGTTATTCAATCGAAAATACTCACTACATATAGTGACTGTCATGAATGAAGCTGTATTCGCTGTAAAAAAAATAGAAACAGTTGACCATTAGTTGATTAGTGGCTGGAGGGGTGTAATTAATTTGGATCTATTTTGTTGTTGTTTTGTTTCGATGGAAGGACGCTGTAAAAATAAGAGTACCAAGAAACAAAGCAAAAATCAACCTGATCGATAAATAACAATCGAGAAAAGATCGTAAAGGTAGTGACAATGGAGCATACCACGCTAATAATTCAAGGTGTCAGTTTCTAAAATAGTTTCACTCGATCTTTATTAACACGATATGCAACTGCGTTAATGATCGGCGAGTCGATCGATCGAAACAAATGATTCATATTAAAAATACGTGAGGAATTTGTTATCGATTGCAACGTTTTTTTAAGTGCCACACTGGATGTTTAATTGTTTGTAGGGTAATGATGGGTACGTGAATGCAAAAATCTTTCAAAATGCTTCACAAAAGTAGAAGAGCGGCTTATATACCGGGTCTGCGATCGTTCGAGCTCCAAGGCACTTCCATAGCACGCGTCCAAGTATCTCGCCGAGCCCAGTCTGGTTGATTTTGGCACGGCAGCTCTTCTTCTCTGAAAATGAAAATGTACTTCGATTGCTGATTCATTCTTTTTTTTTTCATTTTCAAACTAATTTGCGACACGGTACGCACGAGTCAAATTTATTCTAATTCATATTTATTTTTTCAAACGGCTTGTCTCGTCTTACGCTTAGAATAGAATCGGAGCATCGGTGCTGACAAAGAATCGTTCAAAATTACGCCCATTACTTGAAATCTGATAATACCAGTATCTCCGCGCGTATACGACAGAAATAAATCAGTGACAACAAACGCTCGCGAGCGAGTGCATTATGCGCTACAGGTGACGGTGTAATTCATCACTTTTATCTAGCAGAGATCGAGTGCAGACGACAGCAGTAGCAGCAGCAGTAGCGGCACGTCATTTTCATTTGAAAGCCCACACGTACGCACGCACACACATATTTTTGTCTCTCATCGTGGGCTCGAAATACACACACGCGGTCACTGCCACTTACGCTCAACTTTCTACCCCACGTGCAATTGACTCGGTAGCATCAGTAGTAGTAGTAAGTAGTAGTAATACAGTGTGCGGCGCTCTCGTCTGCAGCAGCCTCAGCTGTTTGCTCGTATATGTACGAGCGATCGATTAACGCTTAAAAAGAATCTTCCGATTTAGAAAAAATGTCAAGCACCTGAGCGCATCCGAGCGTTGACGATTACTTTTCAATAGTATAGAGAGTCTCTATATAACTGCCGAAATGAAAAAAATGTACATTCATTTAAAATGTATTCTCTTCATAATGACACGCCAATTTTATGATTTACAAAATTCTATTGGCATTTGCCAATTTCCACGTGAATTTAAAGTAAATGGCAACTTTCGAATTGTAAATACGGCCACACGAGTACAATATTTACCTACTTGTATCGCTCTGCCTCTTTCTCACAGTAATATAAACTTTGGACGACGACGCGTAAAATTGTCTAAATTAAATATACATGAAATTGTACAGTTCTTAAAAAAGCTCCCAATTTTGGCAGCTCTCCGCGTGCTAAAACGTACACGCACGTTATTTCTCCTCGGCGTTGCGCGACCCGACCTCAAGTATATCGTCGACGAATTTTACCTCCGAATCTGCTTTGAACGTATAATTTTTCATTCATAATTCATCGCTTGATAATACGTGTGCCTGTGTACACTATCCATCATCCTGTGCGCCCAAATGCCGCCTCCTCGTGCGATGTGCATCGACACGCGGACTACTCGAGGAAAATCAATAAACTCGCGGGGTGCGCTGACTCTTGGTGGCCGCGGCACATGCAGCTGCACACACTGCACGTTATATCGTATACTCGAGCGTGTGCGTATATAGGTACTAACCTCGGTGTGTCTGTGAAAGGAGCGGCCAAGGACTGCCCTCGCGGCCTCTGGGCTACCGGGCTTGCTGCTGGCCGCGGTGGCGGCGGCGCCGATGGCACGTACCAATGCCTCCCTTGCGAACATCGCCTTTTTATATTATCATATACGACAAAAAGGATAATCACACGCGCGGGCACAAGCACTTTTCGCTGTACACTCGGTGTGTGTATGCACGTCGCTTTGAATTCACCGCTCTCGCGTGAGCTTCGAGAGAGAAAAAAACTACTATGCACTGCTCGCAACTTTTTTTTCTATCCTTGGCTTTCGACGAGTTAATTTTTTTTATCCTCGACAACTCGTCGATTCAAAATAACGACGAGGGCAAGGTTATGGGATTACGATCCGGGAAAGAGAGACTTTATTTCACGAAGACTCGAATCAGCTGTGGATAGAAAGTGACATTAGACGTTATGTTGAGTACAGCACGGGGTTGTCTGTCTGACTGACTGGCGCTCGCTCGCTTCTCGGAGCTGCAGCAGGTGAGCGCGCCACAGACGTACCGTAGGTACGAGACCCAACCGAAACTCTCTCTCTCTCTCTAACTCTCTGTGCTTGCAAGCTCTAATTTAAGAGAGGCACATGCGCAGCTGAGGCGCCAAACGACCAAAATCTAGACGCTCTCGTAATTTTACGAGCGAGTGTAATCGAGCGTCGAAAAAAGGTATATAAATTCGTGACGGCAATCATCGTTTGGTTTTTTTATTTTATTTCACTATCAAGCTTCTTTTTAACAGTGGTTTTTTTTTTACAAAGAAAGATTTACAGAAATTGTATTTTCGTCGGTGGTTTTTCAAATTACAATTATAACTTTAATACTAGAAAGTCGGAGATCTTTTTACTACAATACAATACAACGGCGTACGTTACGAAACATTTTTTCTATTCTTACTAAAACAAAAGTACAACAAGTTGAGATGAAAAAAAGTTCATACAATTGAACTTACTGACTCACAGTGTATTATCAAAATTAAAAACTACTTGGGCGGATAATAATTTTCATTATTATTTCAGAGGCAGCGTATACATTTTTGAATTCGTTCGCAAGCTGCTTAAATTTGCAATAATGGTTACAAAAATACATATTTAAGATTTCGTACGTTGTACTTTGATGCGAAGGCATGGTTACATCATTTTCGATTTGTTCGAATTGTTTTTTAGCAACAAGCAATTAGGTCGTTTTTTACATAGAAAATTTTATAAAAAATATTACTTATTCATACTAGTGTCTATAAACTATAGTATACACAATTCCTTAAGCTTATTATTTGGTTCTCATTAATATTATGTATATGCCACAATCATTTGAGTTTCTTATATTGCACGTAGCGTTGAACTACAATGACATCTTACTTTAATTTTGATTATTATTATTATAATTGTGGAAGACCGTTGAGGAATAAATACTTCATTTTTTCAGCTGTAGCATAAATGTGTTATAAGAAATATTTATAAAATATTCCACTTACAATAACACTTTAGCTTTATCAATTCAGTTCTTTTAGTTTTAATACATATAATTTTCTTTATAAAATAATTTATAAATATAAACTGAATCAAGTTTTTCTAAAAAAGTGTTGCCACCAAACACAATATAATTGCTAATATTTTGCCTGATACAGTAGAGCATAATACGTTTTTGAGATCATAGTTAAGACCTAAGTTTGGTTTGACAAATTCATTACTTAAAAATTGTAATAATATGGTCATTTAAAAAGATATATCTTAATTTAAATAATAGTGAATTTTTCTAAGCATATTCAATTTTTCACTAATAAAATCTAAGATAAAAATACTTTCAAATATTTAAAATAATTTACGTATGCGAAGTGCAATTTTAGTAAATTGAAAATCAAATTTTCAATGCATTGAATTTTTGTACAAACCGCAAATGTTTCGGATTGAGAATGTACAAAAGAAGTATACGAACTACAGAAAGCAAAAAGAGCAAAAAAAGACAATTTACAAGTGGTCTTATATCATTCACTTTTACTGTAGATTCGTAGTAAATTAATCGCATAAAATTTATCATTGAAATCTAAAATTAGCTAAGATATTAACTAGCAGTCCGTGAGATAATTAAGTTAAATTTAGAATTGTAAACTTAAGCATACATTATAATATAAAATCAATTCCTCATTAGGATCGCGTTTACCACACAAATTTACATTCACTTTAACATTTCCATACATATTGATCTTTTTTTTTTAAAGTCTTTAAAATGTTCGTCTCGGGACCGATCATATCGGGCTATCTATAATTAATTTAAATGACCGTGTCCTGATAGGCGGGCGGTCCACTCAGCACAAATTGTCTCTGACTCTGTCTAACTTGATCACTACGAGCAGGTACTTGAGGCGTCGCTCTCACTCCATGATAATTGCTGTAAATAGACCTCACGCTCGCCGGCCTATTGTTGTAGATCTCGTCCATGTCCTCCTGATTGAGGCTCTGAATGCTGGTCTGCTGGAAGCTCGGATTGCTCTGGCCCTGCCACTGGCCGTGCATCGGCAGGGGATTCATGGACACGGCCATGTTGTCGGTGAGATTGCGCGTCGAGCTTGCGTTCTCCCAGCGGTTGGGCACCGGTATCGACGGCATCGACGGGTAGACCGGCGTGGTGGGCTGCCAGATATTCGGCGAGGACGAGGCGGCCGCTAGATTCATGTTCATATTCATGTTCATGTTCATGTTGCTTCCTTGCCAACCTGGATTCACCGTAACTGAAATGATTGATTTTTTTTAAATTTACAAATACTTTTCGATACCGATGTAAATTGATTGCAAATAAGATTAAATACTCACTTATAGAATTTCTATCGACGCGCTCCCATCGACCCGATATCCTGTCGTAATTCAATTGGCCCTGCGATATGGAGTTCATATTTTGATTGGCAAAATTCGACGAGTTGGCGTAGAGCCCATCTTGATCGGACATTCTGTTGCTAGATTGACTTTTTCTCCTCGACTGTCTGACGGAGCTCCTCCGGCTCGAGCGACGCATACCCTGGTCTCGCGATATGACGGAGCGCCGCTTGACTCGACGCGGAGTCATGGGCTTGGGTGACATTCTGTCCTCGTGGTTGACGTGGCTCGGTGGCTCCGGCTGCGAGTACTCGATGCTGTAGATCGGCCTTATCGGATTCTGCGTTTTCTTCTTTTTCCTAAGCGTCGCTGTGTGCGTGCGCAAGACAAATTGTCAATAATCAATTTCGATATTTTTTTTTATTAATACGGTTTAGATGATTTTTTTTCACGCTCAGTATATTTTCAAGACGAAAAAAATTTGTATTCCCCTCTTACCTTATATTGGCAATAGAAAGTAAACGAGAGTTGTTAAATGTAAATTTTAAGGCGCTACTACGTGTAGAAAATAATTTTTTTCCAAGAAATTATTAGTCCTTGTACCATAAACCATTGTTAGAAATTAACCATAATGATGAATCAACCATTATTGTGTAGATGAATAAAAGAAGCCAAAGCGCAATATGTAAATTTGCAAATATTGTATTTTTATTTCAGTTCATAGTCTTGATTATGCTTGTATTTAAAATGTATTCGAGTGCTATAATTTGTAATCAATCGATTGTAGTAAACTTAAGCTAGGAACACATATTATCCATCGCACTACGTAAAGTTTCGTAGACACATAAAAAAGGCAACTAACAAAAAAAGACATGGAACAAATCGACTTTTTCTACAAAACTTATTTTAAAATTTAACATTTATAAATTAAATTAAATTGCAACTGCTTATGCGATAAAATATAAAATAAATATATTGTACAATTCCTAAATAAGATCGAATCTTAAACTAAAAATTTAATTCTTACATTCCATAGTCTAAATGATCGATAATTAGTACGAAAAATTATTTGATAATGCAACATAAGTATATTAATTGACACAATGTACAAAAGTTAATAGGCTTTCACAAAATCTTAATAGTTCATTGATAATTAAAATGAACGAGTACAGTAAGTGCAGTAACAACCTTACATTAAAAAGTCAAGCCCATATTAAATTTGAAATATTATTAGAATAAATTTCGGTGTCAGCGTTTCAAATGAGAATTCATATGATACATTTTCCATAGCTTATCTATTTATCACAGTCTATCAGTGCGTTATTGATTCTTTAAGTCAATTTATTGTGCAAAAAATACGTTCATGTGCACGATAAATACTCTTTTTCATACAAACTTACTCATAAGTTCTAGTGGTTATCAAAAGTTAATTCTAACATTCATATCAAAAGTCATTCTAATAGTTTAGTACGTCAAGTACACTTACAAAGCTATTTTTTAAACTATATATCAATAAATATGAAATTCTTCAAAGGCACGCGACATACTGAATATTCAACCAAGTTTTCTCTTTTTAAAGGCACTCGCTTGTTTAGTTAAAGCTTTTTTGTGAATAATAATTCATCATATATTACATAGCGATAAATATCCCTCGTAGTTGGCAAGTTTAGAAATTCCACATTTTTCGTGTATAATACTTCTTGTTTCTTTGATTTTTTTATAAAAAATTTGTTCACGTTACAAAAACATCTTACAATTTATGTTTGTATGAAAGCCTGTACGTATTAAATACTAGTTATAAAGTAATTGAAAAATGTAATTAATACGGTAGTTTCGTTGTGTCAGTGAAGGCTAAATCATTCATCGATGACTTTTATTTAATCTAAAATTTATTGAAAAGAAGATTGTACTTGTAAGTGAAAAAAATGCAATGTTTCGTCACGAAATCTATGCGGTAGAAAAGTATAAGTTCAGATACAAAAACTGAGTCAGTACGTTCGTGTATTCTCTCGACCGACGTGCTTTTATCGAGTAAGAAAACATTTAGCAACAACGAGAATGTCCATTATCGTTGCCTATGACCAGAGATTTATTTCGTCAACCTCATCCCTGATTCAATTAATAAAGAAGTAAACGTTTAAAAAGGAGTGATTAATCTATCCACGCGAGGAGATCAGACTTTTGACAATAAGCTCGCCCCTTGTTACGCTCTCACGAGAGTCAGAGAGAGCGAGTGAGTTATTCAGTTGTTTAGTAGTTATTGATGAACATCGAAATCGGCCGGCCATCGCGTCGTCTAACGTCTTCGCGCTGCTGCTGCGCTTGACGATGATGGGGCGAATTGCGGTGATTGTTCCGAGTCGAGTCGACCGTGTTCGATTGCTCCTCAATGGCTAATCTCGGATCCGAGTGAAACGATCTGAGTCGGCTTTGACTGTGCTGTTCTCTTATGTGATCGGCGTACATGCGCGGCCTGATCGAGTTTCTGCTATTTCTAATTCCATTGGGCGACAATTGAGTTCTGTTGAGATGCGACTGCTGCTGTTGCTGCTGCTGCTGTCTGTAGCCCATCAACGGACTGTAGGGTGGCATCGGTGGAGCCGGGCCCGCTCTGGCGCTGTTTCCGCCGCGCTGATACATGCGTCGATTGCCGCTGTTGTGTGCGACCGGCGGATTCAGCGTGTCGTAATCCTCGCGATTTCTGTAGCTCGGCAGCTGATCGATGGGATTCGAGTAGTCGTAATCGACCTGGGCTGCGGCTGCGGTCGTCGCCACGAGCGGACTCGCGTGCATCACTCGCCTCTGCGAGCTGACCGGAGTCGAGGCGGGCGACTGCCGGTACGAGTGCGTCGTCGAGTGCGCAGAGTGCGCGGACAGAGCGGACAGGGCGGACAATTTCGAGGCCTGTTTCTGGTGATGATGCTGCTGCTGAGGCGGCTGTTGCGGCGTCGTCACGAAGGTGGTTGGATCGGCCAGGGTGGCCGCCGACGTGGACCGGTGCGAGTCCGATGTCGTCGTTGTGGCCGTATTGGTAGGGTAGTAGTAACTTTCACGATCTCGATTATTGCTGCCTGTGGTGGACGTGTTGCCGGCGCCGCTGCCACCGGTGCCGACGAAGGTCGACAGCTTTGGCGGAGACAGTGCCGAGTAGCTAACGTACATAGGGTGCAGCGGCGTGTGTCCAGCTGTACCGAAGTCGTCACCGCCGACAAAGTCAACTGTAAGAAGGTCGTTTTTGGTTGTTTTTTTTGCTTTTTCGTTTTTTTTTTTTACTTTTTTTTACTTTTTTTTTGCAAACGTGAACACACAAAACACACATGTCTTATAGAGACGAGATATATGTAATATGTTGTATGTATATGTTTAGCTAGTAATGATAGTTATATAATAATATTGGTAGTAGCAATAGGTAGATGATGAATGGTCTATGGAGATGATTGCCCCCGTAGCGCGCTTTCGTTCATGGAAAAGCTCGAGGGAACATAAATCACTGCCTTACATAGCTGACTTTTATTTCGCTTCTTTTCTCTCAACAAACTCTATATATGACTGCACAGTTTTTTGTACTATAAGTCGAAGGCCCGTCGATGATCGTATATAAACTATATCATGACTGTATTATTACGAATAGTCCGTCATTCAAGAGTTACGTCGAAACTGACGAATATTCGACGTGCCTAAACTTTATTATAACGTCGAGCAAAGTAAGCAAAAGTCACTTGTCTTTCGAGTACAATTAAATAAATAGCTATGTTTATAATTATTATGTTTAAACGAATGCAGACTAAAAAAGAAGCAATGAGTGTTTCTACAAGTGCTCGGATACTAGAGAAGCATGCTGATGAATTTGAATCCTTAGAGTTTTCCATGAATTTACTCGCACTTTTATAATCAGCCAAAAGAAATTGTAATAAAATATACAAAGAATAAATTCGATTTACCATAATAAATGTACAAAGAATATTGTAATGTTCAAAAAATGTATGAAAATACGTCCAAATCTACATAAATCTAATATTTACAATAGTTATAACTTTTATACAAAATATTTTTTAACTTTATGATAAATATTACCACAATGGTACAAATTAATTCATGCTTATATTTACAATAGAAATTAAAGTTTGTTTACACAGTTTTAAACAAATTATTCAACCGAGCAATTGGAACGATACAATTTAAAAACACTGAAATCGATATTTTAGATTCATAACAAGTAACATAAACAATTCTGACAATCATTCAAACGGTCGGTCTCAATAGACTCATCATGCATATCAAGTGCAAAGCACTTACCAATAAGGAGGGTCAAATCCACCAATGATAACAACTGTAACCCAAGTATAACCCGTTGTTCAGCATTGTTAATTTTGTTAATAAATTAATGAGTAAGGGAGTTCACCAGCGATAAAAGTTAATGAGTACGTTACGTTTTGATCTACAATACTTGTAAGCAATGTAAGTTACGTTTTATTTTTCTTTCGATACGGCTGCGAGCGACAACATTCTCTCGTTAGTTGATATGGTATAGTTATGTGTCACGAATTAATCAAGCTTATATAGGATGGGTGAGCTTTGTGCGATCAAGAGCTATCAAAACGAGTGCTTATATGTGTTATAACACGCAAGTGCCGCTGAGCGAGCACGAGAGTGAGAGATAGATAGAGAGAGAAAGAGGAAGAAGAAAAAAATCTAATTTACTTACAGCTGTCGTCCTCTTCCATGAACACTCGGCTTAAAATAATCCCACCGATTATCGCCATGACCTGCAACGAGGCGTTGTTATATTTATATAAAAAAATCTTCCTGTCGTTGCAATATATATATTTGATTCCGCGCGCGGGCGGCGTATATCGAGTGCGACAAATTGAAATACGAACCGCCAGCAGACATTGAATCGATGAGTGTATCACTTCGACGATTTCGTAGTTCAAGACGCAATCCGTCACCACGTCGGGTCTATCCACCTCCGGCAACGTATTGTTGTAGTGCGCCTTGCATCCGGGACCGTTGACATACCACCAGGAGAAGCTGTTGGTACCGAAATTCAACAGATCGCTGTCCTGCGAAATTAAAGGAGAAAAAAACAAAGTAAATATAAAATGAAAATCAATACGTCGCCTGACGGTTTTGATTATTATTACTCAATTTTCCACCTAGCGCGAATGATGCAGTCAGTCGTGGGTATCGAGTTACACACATGCGCGCGTATATAGCTGCGTATATGGTTACGCAATGAAATCTCGCGTCTTCGCGGCGCATTTCTCGACCAATTATATACGAGAGAAGATCGGAGACATCTATCTGACAATGTGTATCATTGCAGCATATTTCCGGGTCAGAGATATACAGATAAAGCGAGTTTATGATACGACTTTGAAGCGATACGCGTTTTAAATACGCGTACATAAACGCGAAATGTGATATAAATGTAACACAAAATATTACTTACCCTGTCCAATTTTCCAGCGTTGAGATAGAAGCAAGTCACGAAAATGTTCCATCCCAGCCACCACACGTTCCATACGGAATACTGCGAAAAAGAAGGAAAAAAAAGAAATGAAGAAGATGTTTTATTCGAACGAGTCCGAGTATTTTCTATAATTATCCGTATGGTTTTCTAATGTCACCAAAACGGGCGAGCGAGAAAGAAAGACAGATACAGAGAGAGAGAGAAGTACAAGCTCTTACGCTGTCACGGGACATTATATACGTTTCCCAGCGCGCGCGACAGAGAGAAAGAGAGTTTCCTTTAATGTACAAAGTCTATATATACATGACTAACACGTGAGGAATTCCCGAAAGCGGGTCAATGGACTGTGTGCATATAACTGCAACAGGAGGCTGCTGCCGCGGCGAGATACGACTCGCGCAGTTGCACATTGGCGAAAGTTCGGTCAGTCTTGCGGATATTTATGCCGCGCTTTTTTTTTGGCGTGTGGTCTCTCTTTCTCTCCTATCCGCGCGTATTTGTTAGTTGGCTCGTTTAATTGGTGACTTCTCTTCTTTCGACGCATTTTAATGATTAACGATTAAACGCACGCGAGAAAGAGCCGCTGGCGGTTGTGCGAGCGCGCGCGAATTGACCTATATATAATATGCATGTACCCCGTGTGTGTCTCGTCGTGAGACGGCGTGCGAGGAAACATTCGAAAATTATTAATTTGACTTTTATCTTTTTTTTCCTACGAGCAAGAATAGGGTTGGGCATGCGTAAAAACGCGCTCCAAATACCGCCGAGCTGTACGGCTCGCACGGATATTAACTCGATAATTGATGAATGAAAATAAAAGAGGGGAAAAAATTAGAGAAAAAACAAACGTATTTCACGTCTATATAATAACGGAGAAAAGAAATAATGTGCAGCTCGCGCGCGGCCTGCGTTGCGCCATTGGCAATACACACAACGTGCGTTTATATCTTGACGTATTGTTACAGCTTTTACATTTGTGTATAAAAGATTAGACGCTATTATGGCGGTAGATAAGCTGCGTTCTCCGGTTCACACACAAACGCATACGAGAGCAGCACACAAACTCAAAGAGCTTGGCATCATCATACTTGCAAAATGCTATACATCAAAGAGGAAGTGTGCAGATCTGGTTCGCTGCTGCTCCTGCTCGGTGTGTGTATAAAAAAAAGGACTTAATAATCTTTTTATCGAGAGAAAGTTTCATCGCTTCGATGATATCTGTTACCCATTTTTTTGCTGCCGCGCACAATCTTTTCACTTTGCGAGCGAGCGTGCGGTAAATACATAAACAAGTACAAATGAAATTACATCGCTTACCGCTATGATATATTTAGGTCGATACTGAAAGGCTCCGAAGAATCCAAAAATCACAAAGATTATGTTGAAAAAGTTAAACAGTATGGGCAGCCACATGAATCCGAGAAAATCGAAGACCTGACGCTCGACCGTTGTTATCTGCAAAATGTAACAGAGACCGGATTAATTTCATTACAATTATTATCATTATTATTATTTTTAATACTATATCGTGAGAAATTGTGATAAAAATTTTATAATGTATTAAGTAGCACACTCTAAATAGGGTCAAAGTATATAATTTTTCATTTTTAGCTGTCAACCGATAAATTAGCAAAGCCTCAGAAATCATAAGCTCAAAGATTTGATTTGTATTCTCACAAGTTTACATTTCATCAACAGAAAGAGATAAATAATTTTTTTCTTCAAATGTGAGCAATATGCAATATTATAACTGAAATCAGTTTCAAAAATACACATGACTCATTTCAAATAACTGTATTAAATGCAGTTCTTCATTCTTTATAATAATTTATGGTAAAAATTTTTTATGAAAAAGTTGTCAATGATTGGCAAGAACAATATTGAAGCATTGAATAAATCTTGATAGTATTGACACAATGTTCAAATGAATATATTAATCTTTAATTGATGATTAAATGTTTAACTTGACTAACAATTGATAAAAGACTGAAATGTTACTTTTATGTAATTGGTATCGACCACTGGATTTATATTGTGTTATCAATTTCCTCACATATTTCAAATCATTTCCTGTGATTATTTTTCTTTTCCTTTTTAATTTAAAGAAAACAATCATTTTATCTCATAACATAAATTTCCATATACGTAAGCAGTATCATATTACAGATCAAGTACGGTTGATTCATTCATTAATGCTCTTCATTAACGAACACATGTACTATTTTTATATTCTTTTTACAATCAAGAAAATGAATATTCTAATCGTAATGGTTTCCAGCGATGGTTTAGTTTACAATGCATGTGGGACACGAGCATAACACGAGTTTCTTTATTAACAAACAATAAAATTTAAAATTAACAGTGTTATTTGCACTACAAATTTTTTTCATTGAAAAAGTGCACAAGACACATCATCACGCGTCAGTGAGTAATGAGTAAACGCGATGCTCGGCGAATACTAATGCAAATGAAATTTATTCAAGGCAGTAATATTGCGTCGAGCAGGAACTAGGAAGCTATGTATGAAAAATTAAGTGGAGTTATAGATAGCAATGATCCACCTGGTAACGCAGCGGACTCTGAAACAACATTGACCGCAAGGCGTATATAGTACGGCGCGTAGGATTTATGGCAAAAACAAAACAGCACGTCTACTCTGCACACGCACTTCTTATGAGAAGTGTATCTCTCTCTCATGGTATGCTCTGAAACTCGTTTATCCGCATCATCGCGAGATGAGATCGTGACGAATTTCCACGTACAGGTACTCACGCACACATGCAAGCGTATATGTGAGTAAAGGATGAGCGATATATAGACGAAGCAGAAAAAAAACCGCGAGAAAGTCGCTCGAACTCGTATATCGATATACAGGAGCGCGATTTATATTACAAACACACACAAACACATATATCGAGAAAACGAATCATGTATCGAAGGTATAACTTACGAGCTGCAGGGTGCAAACGGTCAGCAAGAAGTGTCTTTTGTTGCACAGGCCCATTGTTGATTGCGTGAATCGACTGTAGCTGCTGCATGTATAATAACTCGTTGCGCTTATACAAAATTATTATTTACACGTACAACAACGGTGTTGCATCAGTGTCGCCTCTCGTTCATCGTGGTGCAGTCGTTGTTGTCGACGATGGCAGCAGCCTCTTGTTTCTCGCACGAGCAGGTAATGCCGCGGCGGCTCGCGGCCTCGTGCACGCGACGACGATTCCTCGCGGCCGATGCACGCATAATCGAAAGAAGCAATTGTCGCGCCGAGGGATCGAAGCGTTATTGTTGTTGTTGTAACGCAATCGAACCTCGTATATCCGGAAACACACTACACACAAACACACAGGATAGAGACACTGATACACAAACACGACGACGGCGATGATATTGCTGCGCGGCGTTCAGGCCGTATTATAAGAGTGACAACGAGCAGCGAGGAGAGAGACTCTACTCAGCAGCAGCAGCAAGAGAGCGTCGTAATCGCCATTTTCCATACACTCACTTACACACACTAAAACTAAAACTAAAAGGGAGTTATATAGACGACTATGTGAGTGCTCGAGAGAGCGAGAAGGAGAGAGAGAGAACGCCTGCGCTGCGCGACGACTATACTCTCGCAGTCTCTCTCACGTACGAGCGCGAAGTGTATAATACGCCGCTGCCGCTATGGGATATATTGTAAGAGTGCCTTACATATAGATCCGAGACCGCTGCATATACACGTACGAGTGCACACACGGATACTCGTAACGCACGAGAACTGTAGTAGCGAGCGGGAGAGAGAAAGAGAGAGAGAGAGAGAGGAGAGCGAGCGCGTGGGGTGACGGTTATTCACGCACACACATTGGAGCTGTCTCCGAGAAACCGCGAGAACGAGGCAGTTCTAACACAACGCCACACATATAGATACTCTCTTATACAAACACAAATACACGCACACGCAAAGTCCGGAGTCGCCGCTGAACTCTGGGTAAAAGAGGAGAGGAAAAAGTATATAGGCTCCCGCGCGCGCGTAAGAAAGAGAGAGAGAGAGACTATACTACCGTGAGGTATAGTGTATAATACACAGCAAGTGCACACACGAGTCGCGGCGGCGCAGGCTTGCAACCTGCCGCGTATACAATAACGAACTCGTGGGGCTGCGCGTACCGCCTAACGCGCGTTTACCCGTCCTTGTCTGTTGTGCGCGTCGAGCAGATCGTCGCCCACGCAACAGGTGAGCCAACCGCACGGTATAGACAGAGACAGAGAGAAGAGAGGCTTTTCGGCGTGGCCATTTAAACCGTCGCTCTTTTTCAAAGCTGCTGCTGCACCGGCTGCCGCGCGCACGTGCAAAATTGGAGCAGTTGCTGCTGCTGCTACTGCTGCCTCGCATGACGAGTTGCTGCCGCGTATTTATAATACGCGAAGAAAAGACAGGTGCGCGACGAGAGACAATTTTTATGGGGTGTGTGCCCAGCGTGCGAGGTGTACATTATCCTTTGATATACGGCTGCGCGCGTACATTATTACACGAATTCTCATTTCGAGAATGCTTTTTATCATTTCGATACGAAGTATATCTGCGCTAAATTATCTAGCCACTCGGGGCCGCGTGATTATTATTATTTCTTCTTTTTTTTTAGTTATACAATATCGACATCGATTCGACTCGTATAAATAGTTTATGTGTATCTCACACGTACGAACACTCGATGATATTGTATTGCTGCCAGAACCGATGATGATGATCAATCGAGTGGGTCGTTGACCTAAAAACGTCACGTGTATTATGAATATATCTTAACACATATGCGGCTACATACATCGCCGCGCGAGTGATCCTCTCGCCTTGTTGCTCGTTGCGCGCAACACTCAAGTGATGATATGAAGACAGGCCTATTGTTGACAAACACCATTTGTTGAAATCATCCGAATAAGACATGGTTCCGACAACGCTTATTCGTTTCTTTACTCTTCGATGTATTCATCTTTCGATGAAGTAATCCACACACACACACTTATACACGATCTTCTCTCAAAAATGTTTATGTAGAAGACCGATGCGCGGGAAACTTTCTAAACGTATACCCATAAAAATTGCGCGAGGCTCTTGGACAGCGCACAGATTTCGGTTGGTCGTTTTTACGGAGACAAGGAAAAAATTTCGAGAGCTAATCCACTTTATAGAGTCAAATACGAATAGAAGCATGTTGCAAGCACGAAGAAATTATAAAGTACAAATATTCCAAACTCGCGCAGGATTCGAACATAATATTTGGTATTCTAATTAAGCTATTGGAAGCGTATACGTGTCTTTATTCATGAGCAGGCTTGTGTTTTTTTTTCAATATATACAATGCTCGTACACGAGCTTACAACAAAAGATAAATGCTAAAAATACTCGAAACTCGCGGCAGCGGTCGCCCTATGATACACCTTATACGTTCGCAATTACTACAAGCGCGTTATACATCGTTATCTCACCTCGTCCGATATCGGTGCGATTCACCGCCGCGCGCTATTATATTCATCGTCGCGTATACCTAGAATAATCACTGAGATAACCATCGCGCGCACGCAAACTCGGTACATAACGCACAATGGTCTCATTGTTTGGTCGACGTAGTTTTTTGCGCCACCGTGGCTCGGAACAGCTCGCAGATGACGCTCCTGTGCAGATCGCCGAGCAGCTGAAAGTCCTGCGTGTGCACGATCTCGTCCGAGTGCGCCGCGACGAACTCGATCGTGCGCTTCTTCAGCCGATCGGCCCCGTAAGTGTCGGCGAGCTTGAGATACTCCACGGCGTTCTTGGTGCTCAGGCGCGACATGAGCCGCTTCTCGCAGAGATCCTTGAGGCCCTGCAGCGAGTACTTTTCCGCGGCCACCAGCAGATCGGCCGAGATCTCGTCGCAATCGCTGGAGCTCTTGTGGCTGCTGCTGCTATTCTGTTCATCGGTAAGCAGGCGGCCGGTGTAGGCGAAGCGCAGCAGCTCCTTGAGTACCTTGTGGCCGACGTCCTTGACCTCGACGACGCCCTGCTGCTGATGCTCGAGCTTGCCGACGCCGTTGCTGCCGCGGCACGACGAGGCCCGGCTGAACATGGCCTTGAAGACGGGACTGCGCGAGGCGAGCACGCACCTGTGCGCGGGTATTTTGGCGCCGTCGCGCGTCGAGAAGATAACGTCGCTGAACTCGCCGCTCTCGAATAGTTTTTCGTAATCCCCGAGCTCGCGCAATCGCCGCTTGAGCTCGTCTATCTCGCCGGGGTCATTGTCATCGCCGTCGTCGTCGTCGTTGTCGTCCGATGAGGACGAAGAACTGTCGTTTCGATCAGTGCTGCTGTCGTCGTTGCTGCAGAGACTCGCGTCGAGGACGATCTCGCAGTGCACCGTGAGCGAGTCGTTGGGCAAGATGCTGTTGCACTCGACCAGGACGTACTTGCGATCGATGAACTGCCGATAGCCGTAGGACTGGCGCGGCCCGAACTGCTTGTTCAGCAGCGTCTTCTCGGCGATTCGCTCGTTGTTGCAGTTGAGAAACGACAGTGAGACCGTAGCGGTGAGGCAGATGTCGTTGAGCGACTCCACGTACAGGGACATGCAGCGGTTGCTGGTACTGGTGCCAGTGACAACCGGTGCTGCTGCTGGCTTGCCCCGCGGATACAGAGACAGACGCCACTCGAGATCGACGTAATCGTTCGACGTGAAGAAGTGCGGCGAGACGATTTTGTTGCTCGTGCCGGATCTGCAGGCGTAGTCAACCTCGCTGAAATTCTTGACGATCCACTTCTGCTTGTAGCTCAGCTCGGTTTGCTGAAGCTCGCCGACGCCGCCGTCTTTCGTTGTTGTCATTTTTATTTTGTTTTATTCGATTCTATGTGAATGGGCACTCGAATTTTTGCGCGCGATACACGCACACGCGTACATCTGTGTAAAAGTAATAAACGACACACTTCACTTCACTTCACTTCATTTCACTCGGAATGATTCGGAGAGATTCGCGAAAGCGTAATATGTAGGTATACGAATTAAAAAAAAAAACGAGTCGAAAGATAGGAGGAAAAAACGCGGCCGCGCGACAACAACACGCGCCGACCGAATCTTTTATATATCTGCTTTAACGAGGCTCGCGTATGCGAATGTTGTAGTGCGACAAAATAATCGCGCGTAGGCAGATGACGATTCTTATCATCAACGCGATGACGACGACGACGACGACGACGATCGCAGAACACGATCGCGACCGTAGCCACGAGAGAGCGAGGTGGGGTTCTCCCGCGTACAAACGAGTTACCCCATTCTCTCCGTATTATTATTTTATGCTCGCGCCTCGGCAAAGGTGTACATATACTTAGATTATTATATGTGTACGCGATAGATAAGTGAGAGAGAAAAAAGTGTGACACTCTCGGGCTGTGCAAACGCGATCCACGCTCCGCGTCGACGTTTCGAGTATAACTGTGTATTATACTACTACACGAGTGTACAAAAATGAGGCTTGCGTACGAACGGTTCTCTTTTTTTTCTTTTTTTTTCTTCATGTAATCGTTATTGACAAATGTATCAACGACGAAATTACGTCTTGCCAAAATAATGTCGAGGTCCGCATTTTAACATGCCTTAGTGATATTTCGCAAGCGGTTATGCTTAATTGTGTACGGTAATCGTTTATGTTTATGAAATATTGACTCGGGCACGTAGCGTACGTCCACTGCTTTCGAAAATCTATTATGTTGATTAACTTTGATAAGTTTCAATGACTGAGTCCTTAACTAATTGAGAGATGAATATGCATCTGTACCAGAGCTAGCCCTACGCCTCGGCTCGCAATCCTAGACGGTTATGGTCAGTGGGCTCGTGGCCCATCGAGTCGTGGTCATTGAGCGCGGACTGGACTGGTACTGGCCGCCGAAATGTTTTCAGAGAGAGCAGAGATATAGACACTCATAACGATCGTTCGAGTTAATTGAAGCACAAGAGTGGGCTCAGTTGAGTGGCATGAAATTTCTGCTGTATCGACATTTTTTAAATGTTTCTTTTCTTCGTTATTTTCTTGAAAAAAGAGAAACAAATAAACTTATCGCTGCTCAAAATCATCAGTCATGTATAAATAAGATAATTATTAAAAATTATTTTCCACTCCGAAAAGAATGATGAATTGTAAAAATCCATGAATGGTATTTTGATGGCTGTCCATATAGACAGCTAACTTGATATTCAAGACTTACTTTTAAGTAAAAAAGAAAACCAAAACTAAAAATACTTGCTTTTAATTTAATTGTTAGCCTTTGGTTACAATCGACATGTATTTTATATATTATTTACATTACTTGCCGTTAGACAAAAAAGTTATATGTTGTGACCTAGATAAAACGTTTTATCAAAAAGATTCATAGATCTACTCTATTGTACATTTTTTTGCCAATAATAGTTAAATATTTATTATCTATTGTTTGTACTGTTCTATTATTGTTTAAGATATTTTTTTTAAACAAAATTTAGCTCTTATAATTATTATTACTCGACCAGTCGGCGCATGGAAATAAAACTGCTCAACGAAGTTACATCGTGATTTTATTGGACTCATTTGTGTGTATTTTATTCTATTGCAAAGATATGTCCAATAAAAGCTTAGAAAAGCAACAAAATCATGATGTTGCACTAAAGTATATAAAATTTTACAATTGGGAACGATTCGCTTTGTTCACAAAAGTTTTGCGGTTATCCTTTTTTTGGCCAATTCAAAACGGTTACGTACAATTATTGGGGAGATCGTCGATCATTGTATTTCTTCTCCTAACTTTTTTGTGTTCTGTGAGTAATCAATTTCAATAGAATAAACATTGATTTTTAAAATACTACAATTAATACGAACTAACGAGAAATTACAAATAAATTAGCTCGTGAAGTTGATAGAGGAACTCAAAGATGTTGACGTTAATGGCTCTGATTTGATAGATAATATATTTCAACTTTCGATAGGTGTTATGGAGATATCTACTTATGTTTATTTGGTCATAAATAACCACGAGGTAAATGTTATTTTTACTTGAAGAATTATAATAATTTCATGCAGTTTTGTCACAGTATTCGAAGTAACAGATGCATGCTTTTTAGATTAATACATGTATAAAAATAATAGTAAAAATATATGAAAATAACCAGTTGAAAGGACGACATATATTATCAAATGACGTGGAAAAAGCTGTGCATTATAGTACCGTCTTAATAGGTATAACTGTTACTTTTTTCGCAAGGACAATAATAAACTACGTCATATTATTTCAGTGTTAATATTTTTATCTTGTGGTGGTTATGGCTTGTATCCAGTGATTATTCCAATTGTTTTATCTGTGATATTTCCTGGTCATCATCTATTACAGAAAAAATTACCTTTAAAACTCGAATATTTTATTGACGAGGATGAATATTTTTATTATATTTTGATTTTAAACTTTTTATCCCTTATGCTCTTAGGTTTATTAACTTCTCTTTTAATTTACCTTCAGTGCATAATTGTAGGAGTTTTGATGGGACAACTACAATCTTTAGAGTACGTAATATTCTCAAAAATTATCTTCGACTTATTTGATGAAATGCTTTTCGTTATTTAGATATAATTTGAGAGAGATGGATCTTGAATATTATGGCAAAAAGTTGACAATGGATAAAAGAGCAGCTGACACTTTTCTTATCCGGAGACTCTCTGAAATAATCAGTCAACATCAGAATTGTAATGAGTGAGTCGTTCTATATCACAAAATATTTTGAAGTGACATTTTTTAGAATGTAAATATAACACAATCTTATGCAATTAATGCACATATGCTTTTTCAGCAAAACAAGGGGTAATAACTGTTTTGCAGGAAAAGCACATCCTCATACCCAATGTACACAGTACAATTCTTGTTATAAGACTTAAAAATTCCATTAAGATTTTAGAATTTCTGTATTTTATTTACGCAATTTTTCTAGGCTCTACGAAACCTCGAAAAAAATAGTTTCTCATGTGCTTCTGATAGTACTCTCTTGCTGTTCATTCTCCTTCGTTTTATGTGCTACTTGGGTAAGCATTAAAGTATGAGTGCTTAATTGTAATTATTTGACGCTGAAGCAGGTTTAGATTTGAGAAGAAAACTTTATTCACTAATGTATAAAAGTAAGTTTATAAAAGGGTACAGTGTGGAAAAACAGTGTGTTGTGTCGGCAGCGGCTCGACGCTAATTGAGCGTACACTTGTGATGCGCTGCGGCAGCGACTCGGAAAGTAGGCACACGCAGATGTCGCCACACGGTGTCGTCTTGTGCGGACAGTCACGTGATATTTACACGTAGGTCGATAGATCGATACATATATTTATGACATTAATGTTACTCTTTAAGACACGCCGTGATAAGAAAATGGTTTAATTCTATATCTATACCCCTTATCATAACAAGTGTCCAGCATAATATCTAAATTTTTAAAAGTTAGAACTAGACTCAACTATCTAGTTGTTTTTTTTTAACAAAAACAGTAGTTGCATTTACATTATTTTTCATCTGTAATAGCAGACTTTTGCTATAGTGAGAGTAATTTTTAAATTAAACTAAAATCTAATTTTGATGCCGTAAAATTTTTAATCAATTGTGCATGTATTTAAAATCAGATGGTTATTGTACTGGATCAAGAATTGTCAGAAGCTCCGCGAGTATTACTTGCATCATGCTGTGTACAGCTTTCATTTCTTATAATATCTACTCCAAGTCAACTGATCAAAAATGCCAGTCAAGATTTGTTCATCCAAAGGTATGATTAAAAAAAACATAACTGCACCAAAAACAATGAATAAAGTAATATTAATATAACCACTTTAAGTAGTTCTTATATTAAGTGGTACTGTTATCCCTCACAAGCTAAGCTTCAATATTTATTAATGATGGTAAGAACAATGAAGTCTTTTGAACTAACAGCAGGACCAATAAAAATGAATTTTGAAACCTACAGTACAGTAAGATATAATAAATTAAAAAAATTTTTCATTATTAATATTGATAGAAATTTAAATCATAATACATTAATTTAGATCATAAAACGTTCATGGTCATTTGTAGCAGCCCTCAGATCGTATTATACGTTTCATTTTGGAGAAAATAACTTATAATTATGGTTTGAACAAACTTGAATAACATTTTTTATGTAATATTTGAGATCGCAAAGAAAAATAGTCGCCTAAAATTCACTTTAATCCTTCTTCTTTAGATCGACAAATATAATGCATAACAATTTTAATGATTATTCACAATATTTGCCCAACGACACTGAAGTTGCAATATTCAAGTTTCATCATCGTATATGAATCGTTTTATTAGAAATATTTGTATATCGTTACATCGTATATAATTTGATAATAAATATTTTACTTTAGATCATAAAATGTTCATTGCTATTTGTAGTAGCTTTCAGATCGTGTTATACGTTTCACTTTAAAGAAAATAGCTCACACTAATGAGGATTTAAATGTTTAATGCACATTGATGTTCTGAAGAAGTGAACGCCACCCTGCTGCTATAACTTAATCAGTATGCTTTGAATGTTGTGACAGTTGAATAAAAGCACGACTCAATATGATAGAAAACTCAAAAAACACGACAAGGTATGCGCAAAAAGGCTCACAGAAAGTGTTGTATCTTAGCGGAAAACCAATTATTTAGAGTTTTAAGAAATGTAAGGGAAAAGGGGAATTTTCTTTAGATTTTAAGACTCTTTTGAGCCTTTAAGAACATAAAACCATGTAAATGTGATATTTGTATAAAAAGTCGACTTCAATAGACATAGGTAAGATTCAGAATTTTTTAAATAAACCTGCGGACGAAGTCCACGGATTTTTCTGAAATGTTGGTATGTTATAGTATTCTGGGCTGTGACATCGCTCGTAGCCTTCAGAATCCGTGAGGATGTGTTCTTTTCTATTTTTACCGATTCTGAAGCCGTTTTTTACTTTATAAATCTGATTAAAAGCATAGAGGTACATTACAACATTTCAAACCACCTTGAATGTTTTCATATTTATTGAGTGCTTCAGAGCTTCAGATAAAATCATTAAAAGTAAAATAATTTTATTTTCGTCGAAGGTGTTCGATATTCAAGGCCGGAATATTTTTTTACTCGTATCTGACACCAAAAAACAATACTTTGAATTTTTCCGATTCCTTCAGATAGGACGCTGAAGTCTATATAGAGCCGAAAAGCCGTTTTGTTTTATCGAAAATAATTTTCATTTGACGATACAGAGCCCGAAAGGCCAATAAATAGGGATCTCGGGAAATATTTTCCAGAAACCTGTAGTTAAATTAAAGCTCACCTCTTTTTTTCATTATCACTTCATAAATATTTAAAACAAGCCCTAGTTAACAAAATTCAGCTTTTAGTTAAAAATGTAATTGGCAACTTATGATAGAGCTTTCTTAGAAAAAATAAATCTCAAAAAAAAAAAAAAAATGAAAGCGTCAAGTTTTAGAATTTATATTACTAATAGCAATCTTATTTTCGAGCGATTTTATCAATATTGAGAAAAATATTTTAGAACACTAAGTGTTTCAAAATCATTTCAGTTGTCAATAAATAAATCCACCAGCGGCATCACCCATACCACGATGTCAATCCATTCGGTAATAGAAATGTTCATACGAAAAATGTATCTAGCTCAGCTTCTTTGCTGCTCAAAGTAAGTAATCTAATATTCATGCCCACGTACAACAACTTCATGCTACAACTGCATGCCCGCAATTCAACCAAGTCGAAGTGCGAAGAAACGCGTGATAAATATTATAATACGTGCATAATCTCGCGGTCGCGGAAAGAGCTCGGCGTTCTACTACCCATACCGAACGAGCGAAGCACGTTACAATGCATGCGTATAATACTCGTCGGAGGCAGTCGACCAGTAAAATAGCCAAGTACATTTAATAATCGAGCGGCGTTCGCGCGCGCTCGAGTCATCCGTGTGCGCGCGAGCTTTATCGGTTACGAGTGCAGCACGACGACTGCGACTACGACTACGACGATTCGGCCTGTATAATGAGCGGTGTGTGCGCCGAGTATAAACAATAGCTCAACGCGCTTCTTCTGCACGACACCTCCGTGTTATGTTCTTTTTTTTTTGCATAACACATCCGAACACTCTTTTTTCTTCGCGCTCTTTTCGATTGAAGTTCCACGTCGCGGACAGCTAAATAAACTCGCGCGTACGAGGAGGAGATGGAACTCGAGTTTTTCGCATAGTAGCATTAATAAAAGCGTCGAAGTCGCGGAGAGCAAAAGAGTGAGGGAGAGACGCTTTTTGCAGTTCGTCGTGTGTGCAGCCCGCGCGAGAACACACAGTTTCCAGCTGATGTCGTTCGAGATCAATTCAGCAGCAGCGCGTGAGTTAATTTAAGAGTTACATATGATACATATCGTATACGCATAAGACACGCGTGAAGATTTTCATAATATTATTGTTAACACGCACACACATAATTGCGTAATGTAATTCAAAGTTCGAGTTTGGAATTATCGAGTGCAATCGTTCGGAACAAACACGATTTCTGCGGGTACCACGTTATGTAATTATCGTATAACGAGCATTAGTTTTTTTTTCTTTTTTCGAAGACTCGTCGTAAAGTCGCACAATTATATGCACTGTGTGCACGCGCGTACTAACAAGTATCAACATTTTCTCGCGGCGAGGAAAAACCGAAAGTTATATATAGCGTATGTTTGGAGTGTAAAACTCGTTTCTGCGATGTTTAACAATTTGATGATGATTATTATCGTGCGTATGTGTTTCGCAGATATGTGACCAATCATGTCGAAAAAAATTCATCTCGTCTGCTGCTGCCTGCTGGTGCTAGTGTGCGACGCGTCCTGGCAAGTAAGATTGTGCAACTTTTGTAATAAATAGCGATGCGTTATTTGGTGGACCGCGACGATCGGCAGCTCTTTCGGCGTACTCAGCGGAATCTCATCGTTACAATTACTAATTATATATTTCAATAACGTAAATCATGCGCACAGGCATCGACTCCGGACTCGCCGACTTACAGAGCAGCAGTCGTCGAGTATCATCCGGTCACGAATGGAGACGATGGCGACATGATCGCCCAGGCCAATGCCAACAATTACCGTACGATCATCAAAGATGCAGCCTTGCACGTGAGTAATATAACCTCGAGTTGATGAAAAAGACAAAACGAATAATCGAAGAGGTCGATGGTGTTTCATCGTTAAATGCTGAGCACTGCAGGGCGCCGACATAATCGTTTTTCCTGAATTCGGTTTGACGAGTTTGCCGAAGGATGGACCGGCCGAAAAAGTCTTCAGCCCGGAAGAGTACAGAGCTTACTATCGCAACACGGCTTCCTACATCCCGCATCCGAACGAGACGGTCGTGCTGTGCGACACCGACTCTAAATACTCCTCGGTAATCTCAACTTTCTTAGTTGCTTTTAGCTTATAAATGAGAAGAAAAAAAACCTTTATTATAATAAATTATGATATCCGTGCACAGTACCTGCAGAGCATATCGTGCGCCGCTCGCGAGTACGGCCTCTACGTGGTGATCAATCTCCAGGAGCGAGTCGACTGCGCCTCGAGCGAGGACCACTGCCCCGCGGACGGATTTCTCCTCTACAACAGCAACTGCGTGTTCGATCGTAAGGGCCGCGTGGTGGCCCGCTACCGCAAGTACAATCCGTTCAACGAGCCCGGCACCAACGTCACCGCCGAGCCCGAGGTCGCCACCTTCGACACGGACTTCGGCGTGCGCTTCGGCACCTTCATCTGCTTCGACGTGCTGAACGAGGCGCCCGCGATGTCGTTCGTGCGCGACAATCGGGTGCGCGACGTCGTCTTCACCACGCACTGGTTCAACGAGCTGCCGTTCCTCGACGCCAGCCAGCACTTCGCCGCCTGGTCGTACGCGGCCGACGTCAACTTCCTCGTGGCCGGCTACAGCGACGATCTCACGGCGAGCGGCGGCAGCGGCGTCTACGCCGGCAGACGGGGTCCGCTCAAGATTTACAATCCGCGCAGGACCAGCAACGCCCTGAGCGTCGTCGAGGTGCCCAAGGTCGACGGCCCTTACAGGCGGCCGATGCTCGGCCACGAGCTCTTCAGCTACGAGCACGTCTACAAGCAGGCCGAGGTGTCGACCATCACGGAGTTGTACCTGCCGAATCATACGTCGATGGTGGCCGAGCCGTTCAGAGACTACCTGGACGTGTACACGACGAAACTGCTGGAGCCCGAGGGCACGTCCCACATAACGACCCTCTGCGATCGCGGACTCTGCTGCGACTTTCATCTGGAGCTCAGCTACAACAAATCCGTACTCGAGGCTAATCCCGGAGCGGCAGAGTACAAGTAAATTGACTTTTTTCCTACGCAGCGAACTCAATCGAGCAATTGTCCAACAAATATTTTTTTCCCCTTCATCTAGATATCGACTGGTGGCCTTCAATGGGACCCGCAACTTCGCCAACGCCTCAACGGGTGGCATCGAGGTCTGCGCCCTGATCTCCTGCGCCGGTGACAGAATCGCGGACTGTGGCGCGATCCACGACCCGAACAGCACCAAGATCGTCTACCCAATGAGCTTCGACTCGCTGATAATCTCTCGGCGCGCCAACCTGTCCAAGTCGAGCTTCTACATGCCCAACACGATGGACTTTCGCACACTGGAGCCGATGAGCGGCAGCCGAGACTTCGCCTACCTGCCGAGCGGACCCAAAGAGTCGAGCCTGCTCATGATGTATCTCGTTCAGCCGCGTAGCGACGCCATGACTTTCGGCATTTACGGACGGGTTTTCGGCAGGGATGGCCACGAAGAGACCAGATTGCCGTCCGCGGCCACGAGCACGACGAGCGTATCGACATTACTCGTGATCTCTAGCTTGTTACTAGCCCTTGTTTTACAATCAAAGTGATATTTTGTGTTTTAATTGACGATTTATTTTATTTTTCAAGTGAAAAAATTAGATCTGCGCATGAAATTCATGTCGAGAAATGACTTGGCTGCTTTTCGACTTTTGTAAATTACTCATCATATTTGGAAAATCATTAAAAAACATAGATTTAGGATAAAAAATTTAAATGTAAAAATAAATATACTCTATAAAAAAATTATTTTGCAATCCTTCCGATCTTTGAAGCAAACTGCGTTGGACAATTTGATTTACATGATTCTAAACTAGATTGAATTTCTGACAAATTTCTGTGTTTTTTTTCCAATGAAGAAGAAAATTCATTTGCGCATTCAACATGCAACGTTGGTGCGTTGAGTGGATTTTTTATAATAAATGTTCAATAGAAATTATCATGAAATATTATAAACCTTGGAATATTTAAATTTGTACAAACCCACTAAAATACTATGATAATACTCATTATAATTCTGTTTTCTTTTCGTTGCATATTATGATAACAAAAATACGAGACGCATATTTTATATTCAAAAAGTGTATTTAAAATATATAAACGAAGATTTTTTATCAATATTTTTCAATAGTATAAGTACTAATAGTACAAACATAATAATTGACGTCAATTATATAGAATATATCATGTTATTATTTTTTTTTTATAAATATCCGAGTTTCTGTACAGGCATACAGATCAATTCGTCCATCTTGTTGAGTATTGGTAAACTTGTCGAATTCGTCAAGTTCTTGTAATCGCACGGTGAATTGCAAATATGTGCATCATTAATTGGCGTCTTTGAGAGAATTTTTCATGGCAAACATCGCATTCTTGTTGTTTTTTGTCTTCATGAATCGTACTAAGCGTTTTTTTTATTTGGGGTTTGAATGTTTCGGGCAAAAGTTGATCATGGACATTACGAGTCTCTGCAATTGAGTCTTCGTGAACATTTATATGCATCAACAAATTTTCTTTTCTGGCAAACGTTTTCTGACATTGCTCGCATTTGTGGTTATCGACACCTTCGGGCATCATTTCGTCATTCTTTTGTCCATTGTGAATCATTTTGTTGTGTGATGTCAACAGCTGTATTCTTTCCAACTTTTCTTTGTGAGCGTTGCATTGATAATCTTTTCGTCTTTCGTGATTTAATCTGAGATGAAGTATTAAGTTCTGTTTTGCTGTAAACGATTTTGGGCACATATCGCATAAGTAGTCTTTTTTCCCTTGGTGACTTGATCTAAGATGAAGTATCAAGCTCTGTTTTGCTGTAAACGATTTTGGGCACATATCGCATAAGTAGTCTTTTCGTCCTTCGTGAAATATTTTGAGATGTCGTTCCAAGTTCTGTTTTGATTTAAACGCTTTTGGGCACATATCACACATGAAGTCTTTTCTTCCTTCGTGAACTAATTTTTTGTGTTTTGTCAAATACCGATTAGTTCCAAAGGCTTTTTGACACACGTCGCAAATGTGATCTCTTTGTCCTCCATGAACTGCTTTTTTGTGAACCTTCGCATTTTTCTGATCAGAAAATGCTTTTTGACACACATCACATATGTAGTCTTTTCGCCCTTCGTGAACAGTTTTGTGATGATCTTTTAAGCCCCGATTAGTTGTAAACGCTTTTTGGCACACGACGCATATGTAGTCTTTTCGTACTTCGTGAAATAATCTGACATGAAGTGATAAATTCTGTTTTGATGTAAACTCTTTTGGACAAATGTCGCATACGTAGTCTTTTCGCCCTTCGTGAAGTGTTGTTTGATGTAACACTAAGTATCGTTTTGACGAAAATGTTTTTGGACACACGTCGCATAAGTAGTCTTTTCTTCCTTGGTGAACCGCTTTGTAGTGCCTCGTCAAATTGCCATCCTGTGAAAATGTTTTTGGACATGTGTCGCATACGTAGTCTTTTTTTCTTTCGTGAACCGTTTTGTAGTGCCTCACTAAATTGCTACTCCGTGAAAATGTATGTAGGCACGTATCACATACGTAGTTTTTTCGTCCTTCGTGAACAATCGTGTTTTGTGTCATCAAATGGATTTTTAATGGAAATTTGTTTTGATGAGCCATCAAATTTTGTATCACAAACTATATTAAAAAGTTTTTTGACTATTGCGATTTTCTTATTTTTGAAATATTGAATTTTGCTACTTATAACGATAATAAACATTCAAGATCAATATTACTTTGTACTGAGTTAGATATCAAATGTGAGCACTAATATGCCATGAATATTTGTATACAAAATATTTAAACGGAAGAAAATTTAAACTTTGTTTGTATCCGAACTTTTCTAACTAATAAATGTTACTATCTCTACTTACATCCCCTTGAGATTACTAAATTAAGCGAAATAATTATTTAGCTATGGACGAATAATTTAGCTTGATTTCATTGCACGTAAGAATTATCATTTTTAAAACAATTCTTATTTATGAGCAATGATTAATACAAGTACAACACTCAATATTAACTCGAATTTGTAACCAATTACCAGCGTGAAATTAAAAAAAAAACAATTTCTCTTGGAATAAAGTCTCCAACGAGCAGAATCATGGAGAATGAAGCATATATATTTTTCACAAAACTCAGTGTGACATAAATTTCGAAATCATCAAAATTATGCAGGAATATATAAGTAAAAAAAAATCTATCAATTTATCACATCGAAGCCAAAATTTTTAAATAGAATGCATCATTTTGAAGCTAGACAATATCATATTTTACTAGCATTTTAAACATAAAAATAGGAATAATCACATTTTTAGCAGAAAGCTCTTTGCTTTCATAAACGTTTTTTCATCCATTACTTAAATTCTACATATCTTACCGCGAATTCCAGAAGTGATGAATATTTACACAAGAAAACGAACCTTTACGATCGCGTTATCGTCAATGTAGCGGCTATCCTCTGCGGCGCGCGTGTATATCAAAACGCACTTACGCCGCTTAAAAACGCGCGTCAAAGCCATTAAGACTAGTACGACGAAATCTTGAACTACCGCACCGATAAGACGGGGATTTCAAAAATGATGCACTGGCTGTCTGTGTCACGCCTATTTGACGAAAAACATCAAAACGATATTGGGAAGTGCTACCGTGTACGTTCACGAGTGACACACATACTCCGTAAGTCACCGTGAATCTTATGCGGAGAGCCAGTTTAACGACTGCCGAGACGATGTAGACACGAACTTTTCGAAAATATTTTTTGTGCGTCCAGTGTAAATATTTTATTTGTTTATGCGCGAGATTGCATCTATACATAACAAAAGGTACCTCATCAATTCTATTTATTTAAAACTATTCGAGTTTCTGAAAATCGGAGTCGCAATTTTAACCCTCGGCTTCTCAGAATCCGTACGTAATAAAGCTACTTGGACCGCATCGTCGTTTTGAAACGTGCCGCTCGTCAAACTCGACGCGGTAATATCAGTTCGCATTTCGAACCATCAAATTTCAAAGCAAAAAATAATTCGACTCTTTTGAAACAAAGGAGCCTAGATTTTGATACAATGTTTCGGCGGTCCCACGATCAGATCGGTACAGACTGTTAAACAGTTCGGGTGCGTGCACGTCGTGCCTTAGTCTTTGATGCTTTGGCGATCGAATTATAGTTTGTCATGTGATAATCGGTAAATTCAAACAAAATAAATTATCAATTTTAATTTCTTTCGAGTGATGTTAATTTATAATGTAATATATAGAGCTCTATATTAAACAAATGATGTCGTGAAATAAATAATGAAATATCTTCAGAAATACTTTTCTTGTGAAAACTAATGCTTCCACAGTGTCTTTCTTTACTTTGCATCAATCCTTATCGCCTTCGCACGAATCAATTAAGCTTCCTTGTCGGCACGATTTTCCAGTTAAATTACAATAATCGCTCATTAACGAAGCGAGCAAATGAATCACAGAAGGAGAGAGAGAGAGAGAGAGAGATGACTTGTTATAAATATCTTTAATTTTCCAATGTCGCGATAAAACAATGGCAATGTTATTATGACTTTTTCGATTGCTCATCGTGATAAGTCATGATTATGAAGCTCGGGCGCGCGAAGCCCGATCAGCTCCGCGTAGACGACGCGCGCGCGATGTCGTTATATCTTATCTGGCAGCATTTAGTGAAACTTATTTTAATAATGCGAGCTGCTTCTGCGAGAGCGCACGCACACACGGTCTACAGCTAATCGAAATTATAATTATTCCCCTCTCTCCCCCACAAAAAACGAGGTGAGTCTCTTCTTTGCACTTTATCTCATGGTGATACTATTGTTTTTCTCCATTGGCGTGGAATGATCAATTTTCTTTCTTTCTTTTTTCCTATCAAGTGCGCGCGTCGAACATCTACACCTACACACGCACACACACGATGAGGCTCGAGCCGAAGTTCGCAATTTTTTTTCTGCTGTGCTGCTCGACACTGTTGCGCGCCGCATTCGTACAGGTAACATATATAATAATAAACATCGAGAGAGCGAGAGATATCGCGCAGGCTTACTCACGGGCCACAGAGATAAAAAACATACTTGACATTCCGAATGTTTCAGAGTTCCAGCCCGTCGTCGCTGAGCTACCGAGCGGCCGTAGTCGAGTACAGTCCGGTGCGCGCAAGCTCGACTGGTAAAAAAGTCCCCGACATCAATGCCGATAATTACGTGAAATTCGTCGATCTGGCGGCCCGATACGTAAGCGCCAAAGTTTACATAGCATTTTTAAAGATCGATCGATGCATATTTAATATTTTTTTTGTAATCTTTCCGGCAGGGCGTCGATATCATCGTATTTCCAGAGTCAAGCCTTTCGATCTCCACTTCATCGGATCCAGTGGTGTCTCGAACGGAGGCTGCGTCTTTTATTCCACATCCCGATGACAATGTAGTGCCCTGCAACCAAAGCCATGCTTTCAGCTACGTGAGTCACTCTATTCATTCAAACGATTCAAAATCTCTCCGACATCATTTCACTCTCGCCATCAACGTCACTTAATTCAGTCACTTCGGGCTCTGTCGTGCGCCGCCCGAGATCGCAACATGTACGTCGTGGCGAATCACCGCGAGAAATACATCTGCACGGCCAACAAGGGCTGTCCGCGGGACAATCTGCTGGTCTACAACACGAACGTCGTGTTCGATCGGCGGGGCGCCGTTATTGCCCGCTACCGCAAGTACAATCTGTTCGGCGAGACTGGCACGAATCGCACCCGACGCGCCGAGCGGTCGACCTTCGCCACGGACTTTGGCGTGACCTTCGGCCAGTTTGTCTGCTTCGATCTGCTGTTCCCCGAGCCGGCCTTGAACTACACGCAGGATTGGACGACGACGAGGATCAACGACGTGATTTTCAGCAATCACTGGTTTTCCGAGCTGCCGTTCCTGTACGGAGTCGCGGCTCAGGCCGCCTGGGCCTATGCCAACGACGTGAATTTCCTCTCGGCGGGTTACAATTATCCCGTGACAGCCAGTGGAGGTACATGATGGTTCTACTCATTGCAAATTTTATTGATGTGGTTCTATAACGAATAATTAATTTCAGGCAGTGGCATTTACCTCGGCAGAGACGGCTACGTCGACGTGATATCCGAGAAAAGAGTGTCGAACGTTCTGGTGATGTCGAACGTTCCCAAAATTATCGACGGTAAACGAGCTGTGAACGTCGATCTGCAAAAAAAAGTCATCAGGCTCAACGAGAAAGAAATGCCCCAAGAAAACGTGAGCACCAGCACGTATGAGCACGTGAATGACTACCTCAAACCTTACACTAGTGTATTGATCGATCCGGAAAAAGGCTACTTTAACAGGACCATTTGCAATCGAGAATTCTGTTGTTTTTTCAATGTCTCGATGACTTACGACGATAAAAATATCGATCCAAACACCAACAGTAGTTTTTACAGGTGAGTTGAGATGCTTTGGTTATCGACGTACGATTCGTGTTAATTTTCACTATAAAATGTTCGACTTTTAGATACCGAGTGGCGGTCTTCAACGGCACGCGATCGTTCACCGGAGTAGCCAAGGGTGGCGTCAAAGTCTGCGGCATTATATCCTGCCTCGACGACAGCCTCGAAACCTGCGGTCAACTGCTGAACGACGACGACGACTTGCCCGAAAAAGCGACGCTGTTTCGGTCGATCCTTATCCGGGCCAGCGTGGAAAGAGCCGCCGCGCACGATCTCTTCGTGATGCCGATCACCCTGACCAAGAGGATGCTGCCGATGAACGCCAGCGACTTCCACTACGAGGCTCGGGAGGCGCGCAACGCCCGAGTCGTGCACGAGATGCGAACGAGATCGCCGAACAGGGATCTGCTGACCTTCGCCATCTACGCGAGATACTTTGTGAACGACGACAAGGACGTGACGACGGACGCGGCCACGAGAAACGCCCTCGAGTCGATCCTACTGACGGTTCTCATGTACGCTCTGGTTAAATTCGTTCAATGATCGTGGATTTTCCGGGTGAAATTCATTCGAACTACTAGTCATGAATAGTATTAAGAAAAGTTAGAACAAAGTAACACATTTTCATTGAGTGAAAATGTACAATCATTGAGTATTTTATAATGCTATAGAATGAAATGTAAAATAATAGCAGATTGAGTCTATTTATGGATAAGGTAGTGATATTATCGATTATATCTGACTCCGAGTATACATCTGTGAGTATTTTTCATTGTTATAATAGTAATCATGAATGTGGTGCGGAGACGTAAAAAAAAACTTTAATTGATATTAAGAAACATATTTTGTGATATTGTTACTAAATTTATTTAATATAGTAAAAAATAAAAATTAACTTTCATGCGTTCATTAACATTATTGAAAACTATTTTCCTAACAACCTTTTTTTCGATACAATCGTTTACTTTTCATTTTTTTTCGGAACAAATAATGATCAGTTACATATTTTCGCAGCTATCATTATTTTTCTGAAAAAAATTTAATTAAAAAAGATCATTCGTAATCTAGAATACAATTTGAACGCATTCCGTTTCTTACGTTGATTAATACGTATAAATGATTAATTAACAAAATGATCATACATCTTGAGTGAAATATATGTCAAAAACATAATAATGACTATAATAATAAAAGAACAAATTTCCATATCGGAAAATAAATTCTAAAATAAAAACAATCAAGTCAATACATTGTGTTTTTTCGTTCATCATTTCCATTGAATGAAACGTTTTTTGATAATTTAAAATACCATTGATATTTCGTTTTAATAGACGTATATCAAATCGCAACAAATATTTGATAATTCATTTGTTTATAACTGGCATAATTTTCTTCTTGGTTGCCATACAATTCTTTGGATTGAAAATAAAAGTAATAATTTTATATAAATAACTGAATCGTTTATTTCGACCATTTTGATTGATCTGAATTGAGCGCCACGTAGCTGTTCGTTTTATTAAACTTGCTGTTAATCTTTTTGGCGTGACTTTTGAATGCGTTCTTTGTGCGATTCAACATACCTAAAAAATATTCATAGTTATGAAATGTTAAGAGAAATTCAATACTTTCAGCCGACATAAATCGTTTACCTTGTAAATGATTTTTTAATGTTCTGTGCTTCTTCTCTTCGACTTTGTTGAATAGATGTCCCGATTCATAATATTTGGTACTATCATCCAGGTAAGAATCATATTTGTGTAGTTGCGAAGCAGCATCGACGTATTCGGATACAGAGCGGAGATTATTGTTGGCATCGATGATTTCCTCTGTGTCTTCGGACTCTGTATCATCGTTACCCAACTGCCAATAATTGTGGCCCACCAATAAATCGTCTAGGTACGATTTTAATAACTTCCAATTTTCCCAATTGATACCACTGTACTCTTCCCTGATTTTTGACGCCACATTTTTACTTTTGCGATCTGAAAATTTTTCCCACTGTTAAATATGTTCGTCGATTTTAATTCAAGTTTTATCTTACTCTTTTTTCTTGTTCTATTGAATTGATCACAATCACTCGGTGCGTATAAAACAAATACTAAACTCGTTAAGAAAAATGCCCCCACGGAATAATAATTAACGAAAGACATTGTTGAGAATTCAATTTATTCTCGAGGATGCTATCGAAAATTGTCACAAAGTAATTTTATTTCGTATAAAATTTGTATAATCTCTTAAGCGAGATAGTTATCGTACGCGTTCTAGGACCAAAACTGAATTAATTAGTTCTAAATCTAATCCGATATCGATGAAGCGAGAAACACGAATGGTGGGGTTGTGTATGTCCGTATTTATATGTGCGTTGTTCCAATTGATAGCAGATGTTACATTTCAGCTTAAATATTTTTTAAAATGAATTGCTTATAAAACCCTTTATTTTCATTGGATCATAATAACAAAAATACAAGATGCATATTTTACATTGTAAAGTGTATTGAAAATGTAAGCAAAAACATTTTTAATTGATATTTATTTAAATCAGAGCTTTTGTAAGAGCATACAAATCAATTCGTTCATTCTTAAGCTTTATATCATGGATTTCTTGTCGAAGGTTAGTAAACTTGTCGAATTTATTAAGTTCATGTAATCGCTCGGTGAACTACAATTATGTGCATCATTAATTGGCGTCTTTGAGAGAATTTTTCATGGCAAACATCGCATTCTCGTTGTTTTTTGGTATTCATAAATAGTACTAAGAGTTTGTTTTACTTGGGGTTTCAACGTAAGTGTCTCGTTAGATATTTTGAGCAAATGTTGATCATAGACGTCGCTAGTCTCTTGAATTAAGCCTTGATGAGCTTTTATATGCATCAACAAATTTTCTTTTCTGCAAAACGTTTTCTGACATTGCTCGCGTTTGTGTATCTCACCACTTTCGCGCATCATTTCGTAATTCTATTGTCCTTCGTGACTTGATCTGAGATGGAGTGTTAAGTTCTGTTTTGACATAAACGCTTTCTGGCACATATCGCATACGTAGTCTTTTCGTCTTTCGTGATTTGATCTGAGATGAAGTGTTAAGTTTTGTTTTGATGTAAAGGCTTTTGGGCACACGTTGCAAACGTAATCTCTTTGTTTTTCGTGAACTACTCTACGATGACGTGTTAAGCTGGATTTTGTTGTAAACGCTTTTGGGCACATATCGCATAAGTAGTCTTTTTTCCCTTGGTGACTTGATCTAAGATGAAGTATCAAGGTCTGTTTTGCTGTAAACGATTTTGGGCACATATCGCATAAGTAATCTTTTTTCCCTTGGTGACTTGATCTAAGATGAAGTATCAAGTTGTGTTTTGATTTAAACGCTTTTGGGCACAAATCACACATGAAGTCTTTTCTTCCTTCGTGAACTAATTTTTTGTGTTTTGCCAAATACCGATTAGTTCCAAATGCTTTTTGACACACGTCGCAAATGTGATCTCTTTGTCCTCCATGAACTGCTTTTTTGTGAACCTTCGCATTTTTCCGATCAGAAAATGCTTTTTGACACACATCACACATGTAGTCTTTTCGCCCTTCGTGAACAGTTTTGTGATGATCTTTTAAGCCCCGATTAGTTGTAAACGCTTTTTGGCACACGTCACACGCGTAAGTTTTTTGCCCTTCGTGAACGGTTTTGTGATGGGTCTGTAAGCTGTGATTGCTTCCAAATGCTTTTTGACACACGTTACATACGTAATCTTTTCGTCCTTCATGAACAGTTTTTTTGTGAACCATCACACTGTTCCGATCAGAAAATGTTTTTTGACAAACGTCGCAAATATGGTCTTTTCGTCTCTGGTGAATTATTTTTTTGTGTTTCTTCATATGAGTCTTCTGTGTGAATGTTTGTTGGCACACGTCGCATACGAAGTCTCTTCGTCCTCCATGAACTGTTTTACGATGATGTTCTAAGTTCATATTTGTTATAAACTTTTTTAGACACATGTCGCATACGTAGTCTTTTCGTCCTTCGTGATTTGATCTGATATGAAGTTTTAAGTTCTGTTTTGATGTAAAAACTTTTGGGCACACTTCACATAAGTAGTCTTTTTGCCCTTCGTGAACTGTTTTTTTGTGTATCACTAAGTATCGTTTTGACGTAAATGTTTTTTGACACATGTCGCATAAATAGTCTTTTCGTCCTTCGTGAACTATTCTGCGATGAATTGTTAAGTTCTGTTTTGTAGTGAATTCTTGTAGGCACACATCGCATACGTAGTCTCTTTGTCTTTTATGAACTGTTCTGTGATGAATTATTGAGTACTGTTTTGTTTTAAACGCTTTTTGACACACATCACAAACGTGGTCTTTTCGCTCTTCGTGAATTAATCTGACATGAAGTGATAAGTTCTGTTTTGATGTAAACCCTTTTGAGCACATGTCGCATAAATAGTCTTTTCCTCTTTCGATAACAACATTTTCGTTTGCCATTTAATTGCCTTTTGGTAAAAACGTTTTTAAAGACAGATTACTTTTGAATTTTTGGTGCTCTTCTTACTCCTAAACTTTTTTTGATTGGTCAACAAATTTTGTTATTTACAAAAATTGTTGTTTCAGACGATTTCAGTTAATAAAAAGAAGAGACACTTTGACTTAAATTTTTCCACTTACACAAGTTACATTTAAGATCGATACTACTTTGTATTGCGTTGGATTTCAAATGTGAGAATAAATATAATATGCTAGTTAAACTTGTAAACGAAATATCTGAAAGAAATGTTGTACTTTGTTTATATTTGATATTTTCCGATTAACAGAAGTTGTTAGATTTGCTTAAACTCCCATAATCAATTAAATTTACTTGGTTTATCTCAAAAAATGAAAAAATTATTCAGCTATAAGCTTCATCTATTTGCATGTTACTATTTTTTATTATTTTCAATTTTATGGCAACAATATATTTTAATATATTCAATTTTTATGGCAACAAAAATATTCTTTAGCTTAAATTTTTGCATAATAGAAGACGTCATTTATTGACAATGATTTTTTATATGCATTCCAATGTTTTTTTATGTACTCACCTGCAACAATAAAAAAAAACGACGATGTTTACGGCTGTAGCAGTGCACTTCGACGATAATGGCGTATGGTATCATCCATCTGGTCCTGTAAAACCTCATGTTAACAAGATAATTTCAACAAGCTGCAAGTCGTTGTTTCGTGTTTATATTATCGTTGCCCTTACGTCATCAATTATTTTAAAACATCAACAAATACTCAAAAATGTATATCCTTTAAAATAATTATTGAAAAGTTCTTAGCAATAACTTACTTTGTAGATAAGTTTTGAAAGGGAAAAACTTTCAGAAAATTTTTTGAAAATAATCAATATCTGGTCCTTCGTTACAAATTATACCAGTGAGTGAGCTCACAAAATTAGTTAGTGGAATGTAGAATTACGTATGTTTACACACGTTATAATTACTATTACACCCGAAAACCCGAATTAGATTGGGTCTAGTGTACCTTGATTACTGAAAATTATTACATTTTAATTATTATGTTTTTCTATGAAATCTTCGATCATTTTGTAAGGACGGTAATATTATTAACAATTTTTATGAATAAAAAAAGCATTCTCATACTTGAAATTATAATTGTTAAAACCTAATTTGTATTTAAACGATGAAATGATTTTTAAAAACTGAGCGCTTTATCTCGTAGTATTTCATCAGCAGCGCCATCTACCTCATCCAATTTATGTGTAAACTACGACTCATACACACAATACACACTCACAGGGCCTCACAGGCTCACCAGTCACTACACTGTCAGTCTAGTGGGCAGTAGCATCAACTACAAAGCGCAGACGATATTTTTCAGGCTATACATAAGCATAACAGCCAGAGAGAGTGCAAATTCAATAGTGAGACTAATCCTGATAAAATTGATCGTAATTGTAAACTTTACTGCATAAGTTTACATTTTCCAAGGTACTTTCAAGTAAGTAATCCTGTTTTTGTTTTTATCAGCAACCCCTTTATTATTGAAAGTCCAAATTTTAAATGTTATAACCTTCGTTTTTACAGTGCAAAGAAAACTTCACATTTCATACAACGTTTGAGTTGGTTAGCTGAAAGCTTGAACATTATAACTTACATTAGTAGCTTTGAATAACGAACAAATAGATATTCACAATGGAAGATCACGACGTATCAGCTTCCACGCGAATGACAAATGATGACTTCAGGAAACTTTTGATGACTCCTAGATCATCGGTACCTGCAGCAACTCCAGCAGCATCTGTACCTGGAACATTGAGAGCTGATGCTGCTAAAGCAGCACAAACACCCCAGGTCGGAGGAAGTAATAGAGCTGAGCTGCGTAAGAAAAAGAAAAGTTACTATGCGAAGCTTAAAAAAGAAGAAGAAGATAAAATGGCCGAGCTGGCTGAAAAATACAGAGACAGAGCTCGTGAGAGACGAGATGGCAATCACCAGGATCAAGCTGACGAAGCTATGACAAATACCAATGCATATAGGGCTGTTGCTCCTGATGTAAAATCTGGTTTAGATGCTGCTGAGCGACGAAGACAAATGATTCAGCAATCTAAATTCTTGGGAGGTGACATGGAACATACTCATTTGGTCAAGGGGCTCGATTATGCTCTTTTACAAAAAGTAAGTTTTGGATTTTATACAATTTTGCATTATATGTATTACATAAAATATACGTAACTGTATAATTTAGTTCTATGAGATAATGTTTGTTATTTTTATTGTGCTTTAGGTGAGAAGTGAAATTGAAGCCAAAGAATACGAACAAGAGCAGGAATTAGAAAAACTTGTGAAACCTGTAGAAAAGGCACCAAAAGAAGAGAAAAAAGTTGAGAAGAAAGAAGAAGAGGTTATGTTTAGAAGTAAAGTGGCTCGAAACATTTATAATACCATTCAAATAATGAAATCAAAAACAGTTCAACGAAATGAACATTTTACTCCGGGAAGAATGGCTTATGTTATTGATTTGGAAGATGACACAGGAGTAGATATTCCTACTACTCTAATCAGATCTAAATGTGACATTCCTACAGTTGATAATACTCCAACGTTGACAACAAATGATATTGTTATAAATAAGTTGACTCAAATTTTATCATACCTAAGACAAGGCAACAGACATGGTAAAAAAGGAAAAAGAAACAGAGATGGGCGATCTAAATTAGATGAATTCATAGATATGGAAATGGCTCCTCCAAAAGATACTATGGGTGATAGTATATATGGTGATATTGGAGACTATGTACCAAGTACCTCAAAATCAGATCACTCGTCGAAATCTCATAGAAAGAAAGATTCTTACTTTGGTAAACCCTTGGAAGATTTATCAGAAAAAGACAATGCTCCAAAACTAAATTTGGAATCCATCAAAGCTGCAGGTAAATTCACTTTTATAAGTTTTCATCTTATCATTTAATTTCTATATTCAATTAAATTTAATGAATATATTGTTATTGTCTTATAGCTAAAGCAGCTACAGTCGCTGATGTTGTTCGTAAGAAAGGTCCTGGTCTTCTAGATAAATTAGCATCAGAACCAGAAGGATATGCAGAATGCTATCCTGGCCTTGATGAGATGCAAGATGCCATAGATGATTCAGACGATGAAGTAGATTACACAAAAATGGATCTAGGTAATAAGAAAGGACCTATTGGGCGATGGGATTTCGATACCCAAGAGGAATATTCAGATTATATGAATGCCAAGGAAGCTTTACCAAAAGCAGCATTCCAATATGGTGTAAAAATGGCGGACGGCCGACGAACGAGAAAATTCAACAAAGAGAAAAATGAGAAAGCTGAGCTTGATCGTGAATGGCAAACTATTCAAAATATTATGAATAAAAGAAAGCCAAGCTCTCGAGATGATGGACCTGAATTCAAAGTCCCTCGGTATTAAGTGTAATAAGCGGTGTGATCCCATGAATTTAAACGTCTTCACTATCACTGACGTAAATCTCTTATGCTTTAATTTATATTATTATTAAATATAAGCAACGACGTACAGTGTAACGACGTCTGATGACATTTTTTGTACATATATTGTAAATAAAGTATGTAGATCGTAATAACATTAAAACATTGTATTAATAGTTTTCTCTCATTGTAGCGACATCATTTTTTATTAATTACATTAGGTATGTTGTAAATGATTTTTTTTAAATAACTCTAAAGTGCACAACAATGATTTATCATATAACTATTCAGTAATAGTAAGCTATTGATTTGTGAAATTATATCGCAAGCATTACTGGTTTTGTTTTTAAATAAACTCATTTGCTTGAATAAAGAAAGTTATTTCTAATCTTTAATTTCAATTTTTCAAGACTTCAAACAAAATTCAACCTCATTTGAACTCTTAGATATGAACAGATTACAAGCAATGCATTCGCATCGGATTGAGATTTATAACTTTTCATGAAAGCTTGACGCAAGGAGTGGACATGGCTTTGGCTCCGTTCGAGTCGACGTTGGAGACGTAGTGAGGAAAATTTTCATAGCCATGGCAAGACGCACCGTACTCTCCGTGCTTGTTCAGAGCAATGACCGCACCTCGGAAGCGCGGATACTTGCGACCCATGCGCCTCACCGCCGTCTCCGTGGCGGCTTGCGGCGAAGAGCCCAAACGCATCAGTTCCACTGCCAAATAGCTAAAAATAAAGCAATAGAAGGTATAACGAGATGATTATTTTTAATTTAAACGAGTTTCCTACAATACTGTATGTACCTGGGCAAGAAGCGCATGATTATGTCGCCGTCGCCGGTGGCGGCCGCGGCACCGACTTCTCCGTCGGCGTAAGCACCGGCTCCGGTCACGGCCGAGTCGCCGATGCGTCCGGCTATCTTGTGATTCTGGCCGTTGGTCGAGACGCCCGACACAAGTCGGCCCCGCGTGTCCAGGGCCACCACACCGATCGTGTCGTGCTGGTCCTCGCCGCCCTGGGGCAGCTGCCTCTCCGCGCGATCGATGTTGGTCTCGACCTGCTGCCGCTGCGCCTGACGATACGGTCCGCAGCTCTCGGCTGGATTCGGCTCGACGTTGGCCTCCCAGAAGTTCGGCTGGCAGCGATTCTGCACCCAGTCGTCGAACATCTTCTTCGACTTCTCGGTCTGGAGCGACTCCTTGGTGAAGCCCATCTGGCACGCGAAATCGGCCGCCAGCTCGCCACCGAGCAACGAGTGCCTGGTGTTCTCCATGACTTTTCGCGCTACCGATATCGCGTCTTTGACGTTGCGCAGACCACCGACAGCGCCGACGTCCATCGATTCCCTTATGTACAGCGTACGTTAGTCAAATCAAAAGTAAACTGCGTAGCTGAAGCCTGATAGAGTAATTACCCGTCCATGATGAGAGCGTCCAGAGTCGTCTCGCCGTTCTCATCGGGCTGGCCCCCGTAGCCGACGGTGCCGCGGCACTGCATCCGCTCGCACAGGGCGCAGCCCTCCTCGACCGCGTCGAGGGCACTTCGCTTCTCCTTGGACAGCACGTCCCATGCTACGTAAAGTCGCGAATATCAATCGACGCATATAGCAACGTTTCGCGCACGCACGCAATCGTACCTATTAATATAAATCAATGATCATACCTTTCTGCGTCGCTTCCGGATAGTCCCACGTAACTATAACGACAGGATTGACTCCTTCGCACGATACCGATGCAAGAGTCAAAACGAGCGAGGACAAAATTACGAGCGTAGCGGAGTAAATATTCATTTTCTTGAATATTATTATGTTCGTTGATTTCCACAATAGGCGAGCTCGCGCGATCGAACTGATCGCTTACTGCTCGAGACACTATAGTACGCGCGCGCGCGCGATAATTCGCGCCTCCCTCGCAGGAGACAATCGCGCGGCCAAGCAAGTATATTATCTCTAAATTGGAGAATTATCTCGAGTCGGAACGATCGCACTGAGGCCGATGCTCCCTCGGACGACGATGAATCGTTATATTCGTGCGTACTGCTGCACTGTACTTGCGCACTTAAAACTGAATCCAATCGGTTGAGCCCTGCATATTTTTCTGGGACGAAGCGGAATTTTCGAGATAAATTTTGCAAGATTTAGCGTGGGTTACATAAAGAAAATACAAAAGATTGTTAGATCGATTGCATGTATAATTCTATGATCAAGGCTTGGGTTTACAAATTTTGGTGAATTGGGTAGGCTTTCCCAATTGCAGATTACCGACGTAAAACGGAAATCCATCGAAACCGTGACAGGCAGCGGCAAACTCGCCGTGCTTGTTCACAGCTATGACGGCTCCGGAAAAGTTCGGATAATGCTTCGTGATCCTGTCGATTGCTGCTTGAGTGGCACTTTCCGGCGACTGTCCCTGCCTCATCAACTCGACCGCTAAGAAACTGTTCAAGTTTGAATTAATTATTATTTTTCTTCCTTTCAAGATCGCCTGACTATTATGATCGATCGTTACCTCGGCAGAAATCGCATCATGACGTCGCCGTCGCCGGTGGCAGCGGCAGCGCCCACCTCGTCGTCGGCGTAAGCTCCGGCTCCGGCGATCGGAGAGTCACCGACGCGACCAGGTATCTTGTTTCTCGCGCCGTTAGTCGACGTTCCCGCGGCTATGTGACCCTTGGAGTCGATCGCTATCATTCCGATCGTATCGTGATTGTCTTCGTTGGAAAGCGAGTTGCGCGAAGAAAGCGTAGATTTAGGTGGCTTTGGATGGTAGGGACCACAAGTCGCGGTTGGATTGGGTACGACATTCTGATAATAAGTTATTGTTGAACATTAAAGAGTTGCTGGCATGAAATGATAGCCAAAATTTGTTACCTTCCAAAAGTTTGGCTGACATTTGTTGTTTTCCCACTGTTTCCACATTAGCTGAGAACTATCTGTCTGCAAAGATTCTCGTTTGAAACCCATTTTTTCAGCAAAATCAGTTGCAAGATCTCCAACGATTAAAGAGTGAGCTGTATTTTCTAAAACATGTCTAGCCACCGATACTGCATGTTTGATATTTCTAAGACTTCCCACTCCTCCAACATCCATCGTTGAGCTGAAAATCATTTTTAATTGATGAGATCTATCAATAAGTAAAATTGAAAGAATAATTTGAATACTTCAATACCCATCCATTAGCATCGCATCCAAGGTTGTTTCTCCGTTCTCATCTGGGCTTCCACCAAAACCAACAGTTCCTCGACACTGTGCTTCTTCGCAGTAACTGCATCCATTTTCAATTGCATCCACAGCAGTACATTTATCCTGGTACAATGTTTTCCATGCTGAAAACATTAAAATATATATGAAATCATGAGTCAGGAAATTAATCTCATGTGTAAAACAATTTCTTATATACCAATTTTTGTAGCTTCTTCATAATCCCATGTTGTAATGACAACAGGAATAAACTTTGATACTCCCAGAGTACGAGGTAATAAATTTACAAAATTTATTATGAAAAATAAGTAATATAATTTGTTGAGAAACATTTTTGTGAATTTTTTCTATCAGTGCATTGGAAAGACTACTAAAGATTCTGCATTAGATTGTTATTTTAAGACTTTCTTCTTCCATCCGCTTGATAAGATATAATAAGCCTGATAAATAAAAAACATACGATTATTTTAAAATAAATATTAAAAATTTCATAGACTTAAACAATTATATAACAAAAATAAAATATTAGTAAGTTTTTTGATTGAAAAAAAAATATTTATCATATCTTTTAAATATTGTATTTCACAAACAATGATTTATCAAATAGTTAAGAGTAAACATTATGAACAATATTTTAATTATCTAATTTAAAAATTTTTGACCAATGAAAGTTGAAAATTTAATTAGATAAATATTATTTGCTGACAGTTTTGTAACCAATATTCACACAATAAGACACAAATCGTAGAGCCTCAACTAAAAATGCATGCAAAAAGCATTGGCTTTTGTTAGTAAACAAAAAATTATAAACATACAGCAATACAAACAAGAAAACTATTAGTTTTCTTAAGTTTTCTTCATCTTCTCAAAATTATTTGAATCAATTGAATTCAAACTATTTCATGTGAAAAAACACAAATGAGAAATAAAACCGTGAAGTGAAGAGAAAATAACGTTTTCAATTTTTCTGCTAGAGACCGCGCTGAAGTTGCTGCATGGCCGAATGCGTGGTTGTAGCTCGTAGTGGGCCGCTACTAGTTTCATGCACCATAAAACCCGAAAATTGTATCGACTGCTCTTTTTAATTAACACTAGTTTGCTCCGCATTAAGCTAGTTTAAAAGTAAACAGTGAATGAAACGCGGGTGGGGTCATAGTTGCCTCGTACCAAATAGTTTTCCAAAAAATTACATTCTTGACTACTGGTCAATTGAAGTGATTGTTATTTCGAGCTGTGTGGGCTATTTTTAAATGAAAAAAACGAGACAGAACAAAGATCTAATTTTCTGAACTTTATCAGAAAGTGTGAGAGATTTACATCTCGCTCTAGTGAAAAAATTCAAATTCTCATAGAGCAATTGATTCATTGCATCTTTTCTCAAAGAAGAATTCTTTTTAAATCGTGAATTTCAACTCAGTTCAAGATGGGTTTGGGGTTCAGAAAAAGTTTTCAAGGATTCAAAAAGGATTTGAGGCAGCTCATGAGACCTTATTATATTATTAATATGTTTCTCAGCCTATCATATATTGTTTGCAAGAGGTTACCTTATGTTTGTCATTTTTTGTTCAATCAAGCGGACTGTCAACTCGATGATGTATGATTGTTTTAACTACATCTCTATTCAATGTTTCATAACTTTAACTGAAATTAATTATTTTTGTTTTTTCAGAGAGAAACTGAAATATTAACTTTTTTGATGATAGTTATTATGATGAGAACAAGAAAAACTGGCAGTCTCAGCATGATTAATTATCTATCAAACAGTTTTGTATACTGCAAGGTTGCAAATTTGATTCTGTGGTTCCATGCAGACATAACCCTTGGAATTTTATACGCAGTGATATTTATGTGTAAGAATCAATGATTCACTATAATAATGAATCAATTTTTATAAACTATTAATTTTAATACTTTCTTCCAGTGTGTGGTCTACTTTGCCCAGAACCAACATATCAAGGTCCAGAAAATGTTATTTACCTGCGTGGTGGCAATAGCTTACAAGAAGAATTAGAACGTGATACAAGAGTCTGTTGGCTGATTGCATTTTATACTGTATGGAATCCAGCTTGTGTAAATTTCGCACCCATCTTTTCTGAGTTATCTGCTAAATATGCTTTAGACAATTTTAAATTTGGAAAAGTAGATATTGGCAGACATCCAGAAGTTGCTGCAAAGTATCGCATAAATGATTCCAGTAAAAGTCAACAATTACCATCTTTAATTCTCTTCAAAGAAGGCAAAGAAGTAGAACGAAGACCTGTAGCTGATCGTCAGGGCAAACTGATGAAGTTCTTATTTTCAATGGTACTAACATTTAAAAAACTAAACATTTATTCTATATATTAAATACTTAATAAATTTCTGATCATAAATCTTTATTTCAGGATAACATCAAAAATGCTTTTGATATTGAAGGGGTTTATGAAACCTGCTTAAAAAATCCAATCAAAATGAAAGGTAAAAAAGACAAAAAAGATGAATAAGGAGATCAAAAAACCTTAGGCCAAAGAGATTATCAAATTTGCACAATCTTTATTATAAATAATGATTACATTATATTACATTTAGGAACTTGTTTTATTGTAGTATTGAACTAGACAATTATAAATCATAATTACAATATGAGTGAGTTGAAAAAAAAAATCTTTAAGAAAGTAGTCTTAACTTTGAACCTGTTTGGTTCATATAATATATGACATTTAAGAAAACAATGTCATTGAAAGAACTAATTTAAAAATTCATGAGTGATGATAGTATTTATAAGTTCCAAGCTGAGTTTTCTGAAAATGATAGTATGTTGGAGAGTAAATTGTATGTGTTTGCTTGTGTAGTCATCTTTGCTGTAGATACATTTAATATTGTCTGATAAAAATAGCAGCACTGCCTTTTGTGTAAGTAAGTCATTTACATTTAAAAATGTATTGATTTAAAATTTTTTACCTTCATTGTACAAAAGTATAATAAGGATTCATAGTCATTCTATCTACTGATGAATATGTAGATACATGATTTAACAGTCATATAATGTGTTGTGCAATTTTGCTTGAACTTTTATAATAAAGCTTTTAATTAAACAAAGTTTTAAAAACAAAATTTGCTTTAATTTATTACTTCTTGAATAAAAGTTTATAACCATTTACGTCGAGATTCGATAAATATTTCTAAATGAATACATTCTTGTATACTGAATAGGTTGATTTTATATTTTTATAATCAGATAATACTTATAATTAGTTAGTAAAAATGTACTCAATTGCTACATGAGCTTCATATACTTCTAAATTTTGAGAATAACCGCGTTCATTAACTTAACTTGAATTTAGCTGTTTCTCTTCGCGACAGTACGCAGTACGCACTACGCAGCGTGCGTACACTAGCGCCACGTACGGCTTAGTTGTGTAATGCTGGGCACATATAAAACAGCAGACCACGTGCGTGAGCCCACAATCTCAACTAGTTTTTTATTTCGAGACGCTACCTTCATTAAAAATCCGTATAAACAAAATGAGTGATCAACCAAGGGTTAGCATTTTATTCCTTTTTCATATTCAAGCTAACGCAACGATTGATGGAATTCTAATCCCAGTGCGATTTTTTACAGCAACAGCGAGCTACTCGAGGCGCTAAACAAAACGTTGGCGCTAAACAATTTTTAGGCAACTTTGACCCAGAACAAAGTGAGCGAGAAAAACGAAAATTAAACAGACGACTTACCTCTGGACCTAAAAAAGCTAGTGTCTACGATGAAAACGGTTATCATATAGCTACTGGACAAGACCTTTGTGATTGTTTGGATTCAAAATGTGCTGGATGTCATTGCCCGTGTCCAAAGTGTAGTTCGAAGAAATGTGGTCATGAATGCAGGTAGAGTATTTTTGAATGAAAACTTTTTTTTCGAAGTGGCTTTTGATTTTTTTAAACATTTAAAAAGCTTTGAATGACTTCATAAATTGCTTCATAATTAACTTGTAAATTTACTTCATACTGTATAATTTTTTTTACTTTAATCATGCATTTTACTAGAGTATATCGTTTAATTTTTTCAGAGTTGGGCGTAAATATATGTACGAATCCATTGAGAATGAAGGTAGTGACCAAGTTACCAGAAATCCTACTCGTTAAGTAAATGTGTCCAATAATAAGTAGTTAGTACTATTTTAAAAATATTGATTTTTTGTACCTATTTTTATACCAAATCAGTATTTTAGTAATATTAAGTATCTTTTTATGTATGTTAATTACATAATAAATGTCCGCAGATAAAAATATTCGTTAAATTTTTTACTTTGGGGCCGTCCATAAATGTACTATTTCATCACTGGGTGCGGAAAGTGCTACTTTTGCGTACGGAACCCCCCCCCCCCTCTCCCCTCCCTCCCACGTAATGAACAGTAATAACACAGGCACACAAAAAAAATACTCAGTTTGTGAATTTGTGAATCTTAAGGGTCCTCTATACAGAGGGACAAATACCGACATACCGATATTATTTTGTACCCATTTTTTTTTTATTCTCTAGACAACCGTTGAACTTGAAACTTCGTGGGAGTGATTATGAAACTTATAAAAATCTTCCTCTGGAGCCAGTTTTCAATAAAATTTTTAATAAAATCATTTTAACTAATTGTTTGAGAATACGTTACTTTTGAGGTTATAAAAGGGGGATCAAGTTTGTTTGAAAGTACCGGTCATTTAATTGAAAACTGACTCCAGAGGCACATTTTTATAAATTTCATAATCACTCCCACGAAGTTTCAAGTTCAATGGTTGACCAGAGAATAAAAAAAAATGGGTACAAAATAATAACGTACTTGTTATCGACTGAGTGTGTGTAGAGGACCCTTAAACTAACCTCAAAAAACAAATAAAAAAATCGACACGCGCGGAGCGCGTTTTAAACGTATAGTTGGCTTCAAAAGGTGCGTTAAGTAATCTGATAAAAATTTGAAGAAATTTGAAGTCATGTTTTTCAATGCGATAAAAAACAGAAAAAATTTTCGAGTTTACATTCGGTTTATATCGCCGTATCTCGACTTTTAAAATTTTCAATAATTTCATCTGAAGGCCTGAAGCACTCAAAAAATCTGAAAAAATTCATGGTTGTTTGTTTTGTTGAAATGTACCTTCTTGATTTTTCAGATTTTTTAAATGCTTCAGGGCTTCAGAATAAATATAAATAGAAAATAGACGTTTATACCGGAAGTGGGGTTTAGGAGGGGGAGGGGGTCTAAAATTTTCATTTTGGCACTTTTTTTCTATGTACACTATTCGTGGACTAATTTTGTCCATTTGACATGAATTCGGTAGGTATGGGACTTGTATAAGCATACGACGTTCCGTAATTCAGTGGACAAAATTAGTTCACGGTTAGTGTACTATAACATAGCAAAAGCACGTAAAAATCGGTGCCATACGTGGGCGCGTTTTTGTAAAAAAGTATTATGTTGACCCTTATTTATCGCAAAAATAACACCAGATTCTGAAAGAGCGTACCCAAAAAACCCTGGATATGGATTTTCAAGTAAAGATTTTAACTTTATCTAAGATTTTTTTACAATTGAAAATTCATGGACTAAATTGCACTTTTTGTTAATGGGTTAATAAAAACGCTCAACTAACAGTCAATACTCAACTTACAGCAAACTGATAGATTCCGCAACACCACTCTCTCTAATAAACAGACCGCGTATAAACTGCCGACACTTTTAGCTGATGCTTTTCTAAAAAAAGGATCAGGATAGTGTATGCTACATTTTGATGCTTGAATATAAATTTACTAATCGATCGCCAGCTAGTTCAATAGGTCCAAGACGTCAGCCCTATCCTCTGTAAAACCTTGAATAATTTTTATCAACGTCAGTAAACATTAAATAAACGTTATTAGTCAATCATGTGTGGTATGAATATATACAAGAAAAAGAATCACAAGAAAAAAAATTAAACTATTTCGACCTGGCTATTTTCAATTACCAGCTTGAAAAATTATTTTGTCCCTTTAAATGATACAATGTGTAAGTAATCAGTATTTAGTATCTATGATCAAAGTTAATGTAAATATTGTTATTTTAAAATTTTTGAATTATACAATGAGAGTATTTATTTTTGTTTACTTCGTTGGTGGGCACAAGTTACAGTTGGTAAAGTCAAGGAACTCATTTGTGTATTTGCTATTAAAAGTAATTTAGAATAATTGCCTAGGCAGTAACTAAGTGAGTGCTGAAATAAATTAAATTTTGTTGTTGCAATTGCATTAGTTGAAAATATAAGACAGTCAATAAAGTGAGAATAACTATGATGAATAACAATTCGGAATGTACATTTGACCTTTCATATTATAATGAGCTTTTTAACGAAGCTGAAATTGAAGCAACAAAAATATTGTCAAAGAAGCCAACCAGAACCAATTGGAGTCTTCTTGGAGATTATTTTCAAAGCCAGTTAGGATATTGTACCAAGTATAATGGTTCCCTTTGGGCAGCCAAAAGACAAGACTTTTCAAAGGAGCTAGTCAATCATTTTATATCCGAGAATGACTTTAAATTTTGTGATATAAAATTTAATTCAAGTGGATCAGTTTTAGCAGCTGCTCATGTAGATAATGCCCTCTGTTTATGGGATTGGCATAAAAATATTTGCAAAGCACAGATATCATTAATTGTGGTTGAACGTGGAGAAAATCTAATTACATATGATGGAAGACCAAAAGCACTTGAATGGTTGAATGATGATTTGATTGTCACTTCCGATTGCGATGGTGATTTGAAATTGGTAGATGTATCAACCAGTAAAGTTAGTCTATTAAGTTCATTACCGAGTTACGAATTTGCAGACAATAAAATTTCTTCTTTGCATAATGATTCAAATAATATTTTATGCACTAGCATAAATACGGTGTATCTTATTGATAGAAGAGATGGAACTAGAAAACATAAAGTATTAGAATTGAACTCATATAAAGACTGTGTCTACTACTTTGATGCTATACATTCAAATCCAATGAATGCAAATGAATTTTGCGTTGCTGGCAACTTCGAAAATTTAAATATTTATGATAGAAGAAATACATCGATACCATTAAAACAGCTTTATGCTCCTTGTCAAATTACTTATCCTTTTGTAGAATATCTGGATTTGGCATACAATTACAATGGAAATGAAATCTTAACATCTTGCTCTAGTAATAGCATGTTTTTATTTAATACCACGAAAAGGAATGGTAGGGAATGTATACAAAAATTTGACGGACATTATATCCATGGAACAGGTGCATCTGAGTCCTTGTGTTGTTTTTTGGGAAGTAGAAGTGAATATGTAGTTACTGGATCTGAATGTAATAACATATTTGTTTGGGATAAAGAAAGTGGAGCTCTAGTGAGAATGATACCAGGACCGGAGGTTAATTATAGAACTGATAAAACACAAAATTACCCCAGAGTCATAACATCACATCCAAGCAAACCTTGTATGGCTATCAGTTATCACGATGGATCTCTTCGAATTTGTGAAATAAGTACCAATACAAGACATGTAGAAATAACTGATTTGAAAATACAATTACGCGACAATTTACGTAATAAAATGTACTTGAATGATTTACGTAGAAATTTGTATTTCGATAGTGACAGTAGTTCTGATGAAGAATATAATCAAGATTATTTATGATGCAATGTAATGTCCCCTTGAGTTATTATCATATCCAAGACAGATTAAAAAAATTTAATTGTACAAAGTTATTGAGAGACGTTAACAAGTATATACATTGACAAGTGTTAATTTTTTTAAATAAAATAAGAATTTGACACGATACATTAAAATTTCTCTTTTATTATTCAAAAAATATATTTTACTCATTAAACACATTAACATATAAATTAATATACTGTATTAAATTTCTCGAAAAATCATCGTTGATTAATCAAAAATCACGCGGAGAAGTTTAAATCCACCGAGTTAGAATTTTTTGAAACCATGTCTGATCCACGCAGAATCGTTATCCAATCTACGTGGTAACCATGTCTAATCCTCGTGGATAGCTAATCCACGTAGATACTTTAAAATACGTCTGGCTATCTTAAAATCGAATTTTCGCGAAAAATTAATGTCTACTCCGAGCTTTTTGGACGCAAAACTCTACAAGTTACATTTTTATCAATTCCTTTGTCTGGCTGCCAGTCCATTCCTCTAAGCATTGATATACCAAAATCCATCAAATTTTTTGTTTTAGGTTCTTGTTAACGGAGGTCAGAAATTATTTCACGAGCAGCTTATTCTTCTCACGTCAATGATTCACGTCAACATCAGGTTTCTTTAATTTGTTATATCTATCACTGGAACTGGTAATTCACTCTTGACGCAGCCAATTTCTCTGACTAGACTGCTTCAATTGCATCGTATTCACGGTATAAACACATGGTGCTGACAACACATGGTGCGGCGCATACTCGGTACAGTCGGAAAAGCCGGAAAAGCGCGCGCATGCGTGGTCACGGCTGTACCCGCGCCAGCCAGAGCGAGTTTGAAGCGCATACTATTTTGTAGTCACAAACAGCGTGAATGGATGTACGATATTTTTTCAGCTTCATATTTTTTTTCGTAATAATTCCTTTAAGTCGTCATTCGTAAGGCTAAACTTAATTAAATCCGACTTTTCGATCCCTTTGCGTCATTTATACAAATTTTAATTTCTCTTCGCAATTTTTCATTGATCTGCTTGATATCGCGCTCGACCGTGCAGCAAAATATGTGCTCCACCGCCTTGTAAACGGAGCGACCGCGCGGCGGGCTCTACGTATACCCGCGAGAGATCTCCTATTGATTTTCCGGCAAGTCGTCATCGTCGGTCTGTGGGTTATATACGCGCGCGCTTTTCCTGCGCACATGCGTGTTCGTATATAGACATCTGTGTTGTGCATTCGCAGCGTAGAGAGTTATTTATCCCGGTCGCGCGGAGCGGCCTGCTATATACGAAGACGCGTGCGCGCGACGGCTGATGATATTGTAGGCCACTTTGCCGCGTGCGGCGACTCGAATTTGCATGTGATATCCATCGATGTGGCGAAGTTTTTCCATTTTTTTCAACGAATATTTTGCATTTTTCATTATTCAAGAGATTTGGCGCACTTTAAAATGCATTTCAAATATTTCAAAGTGAGCATGTACGTACAAAGTTGTTACTGCGATGATTGTACAATGAACGCCTCGGGTAAATAAGGCTCACGTTGATTCAGTGACTCGTTGAATTATACATTCGCAAGGATCGAGCGCATACACCGCTGCTACACGCTTGGCCGTGTTCAGGGATCGTTTTATTATCCACAGTGTAAACCGCATAGCATTGACGGTTTCAATTGAAAAATCGAACGCTCGTAAAAAGTAATCGTCACCCCGGTTGAAAGAGAAAAGGATTTATAAAAAAAAACCAACAGGTAACACGATAAATTAAAAGTCAAAGAAATCATCGTCCTCGCGTCTAAAAATAAATCTAAAAACGTTCGATACCACATTCGTTCGTGAAAGCGAATTAGCGTTTGGTTTTTCGATGCCAACTTACACACACACACACTCGAACTCGAAACCAATTAAAAATTACGACTCTCGCGACGAGTCGACACGGTATTAATATAAGATATATGGGTAGTTAGATCGCGAGGCAACGCGCGACGATACTCGCTCTTCTCTCGCCACTCTGGTGCATTTGTCATTTTAATACGTAAAGCCACGCATGCGTGCGAATATTGTCTGAGCCCTACTACTCTACCCCGCGATCCCATCCGTCGAGTTGTCCGACGGAGGCGGCGGCGGGGCGTACGTATACAACACACATATGCAATGTTTAACGCGTACATAACAGAAAAAAGCGGCGCACACGGAGTATAATTCACGAACGTACGCGACTCGTCCCCGTCCGTCAGCGATTACCAAACATCATCTATGCGTTTGTCGTACGTTTACTTATGAAACGAATACCACGCGTAATTCCGCGTAACATCGCTGCCGCTGTAGCTGCTGTGCATCAAGCAGCGACTCGCGAGACTGGGTCATCGCTGCATTTCGCGCGCGCGCGCGGGCTAAGTGGTACGAGTGGATGATCGGTGCGACGCGCTGCTACTATTATCGGCTGAAACATTTATCAGCGTGCCTGAGCACAGCAGCAGGCCTCGTATATAGCACGCAACAAGGCTCGCGACGTTCAACAGGCTTATAGAATTCGGAGCCGCTCGCGTATATATAGCCAGCTGCTATTCATTGTATATACGCGAGAGATGGATAGTCTGCCAAGTTTCGCGCGCGCACTGACACTCGCACACACACACTCAGAGAGACATATATAAACAAACGGCTCTATATTACTATGTATACGTATAATGTCATAAACTCTTTGGAGCGCAACAGCGAGGCACATGAAGAGCTCGCGTATTTCTACATAGCTCCCCTCCCGAAATCTTTTTTTTTTTATATCTACACATCCTCGATCCTGTGCCTTATACATACACACGCATAGTTAGAATAGCTATACATGATTTAAGCTCGTCTACTACATGTAGCCATCGTCGTGTACGTGTGTGTGCGCAGCTATATAAACGAGAAGTCGCGAGCTTTGCGGCGCCCACGCCGGGTTGCGCGAAAATCTCTCGGCAGCGCATACACGCGAAAATTGCACGTTGCCTCTATAGATATACATAGGTAAGAACGACGGCGGCGGCGGCGGCGGTGACGGTGCGAGGAGCTGTGCCGAGCGAAGCGAGCTTGCCTGTTATACGCTGGGGAGGGGGCCGCCACTACATAGCAGGTAGAAAGAGAGAGAGAGAGAGAGAGAGAGAGAGAGAGATGGAAAGAGGGTAGTTCTGCTCGCCGACCAGCCAGTCTATAGGCGGTCTAGCGCGAGCTTTAGTTGGCGTTCGCTGACGCAGAGCTTCGCAAGCACAGCCCGCTCGAGTGTATATCGTGTACATGTAGGAGCGAGACAGCTGCACGCGCTTGTACAGGCTCGCAGGCCTGTGTACATTAATCCAGGAGTGGAAAATATACACATCGTGTAGTTCGACCAGTTGGTCTATGTGCTGTGCTGCGGCGGTGTCGGTGGCAGCGGCGGCGAGACATCGTGTACTGCAACTCTTTGTATACACGGCCGAGGTACACATTATAACGCAGCTACATAGCGAGATTCGCGCGCGCGACCAGTGACGCGAGTCAAGTTTCGGTCAGACGAGGAGGAGCAGCAGTAGCAGCTGCTGCAGGCGGTGGCAGCGGCGGCATGTCCGCCACTTCTCCATAGTATCTCTGTGAAAAAAAAAAGGAGCGTGATAATACATAGGTTGCGTGCAGTTTATACAACCGGAGCAGCAGTAGCAGCTGGTACACAACTGGTACGCAGCTGTGCCAGGAGAAATTATTATGCGTGCGGTAGTGTGTGCCGCCCGGATCATCCTCGCCGATGTGAAATTCTCGAGCTTCATCGATTCGCGCCCGTGAGAAAATTATGTGAAATTTTCCGAACGAGCTGCCGGTGATACATCCCCGATGCCTCATCGACTTTGCATGCGTCAATCCGAGCTCCGAGCAGCAGCAGCAACAGCAGCATCGATCATAATAAGCAGTTTACCACTACTACGGGACGTTGGATGTGCCCGTGCAGTGGTTTATGCACTACTCACGCACGTAATCGTATCGTCGCGCATCGCGAGTATCGTCGCGTTACGATCATCCTCACAATTACAACAACAACGACAACAACGGAGAAATAAGGAGCTGCTGTGCAGCGCGGCCCGCGACGACGACTGCACCGTACGAAATACAAATCGTATCCTCGACATAAGCAGTAACGGTTGCGGAGGCTGATCTCGCAAGCTCGTTGCGTATTGAGAGAGAGAGAGAGAGAGAGAGAGAGGAGAGGAGGCGAGGTGAGCTGAGGTGAGCCGAGAGAGGAAAGCGTCGTTGTTGTTATTATTATCATGCCGGAGCAGAGCAACGACTACAGGGTCGTCGTCTTCGGTGCCGGGGGCGTCGGCAAGTCCTCGCTCGTGCTGCGCTTCGTGCGTGGCACGTTCCGCGAGTCCTACGTGCCTACGATCGAGGATACCTATCGCCAGGTGAGAGACAGCTCTATCCATAGCCGCCTGCATTATGTACGCACCCAAGCACGATCTTCGTTTATATTTTCTCATATATTTTCACGTATGTTTATTAGATAAATCGCTGCATGCGAGCTTGCGAGTTAACGCTACTTTACACAGAGTACCTGCCTCAGGCTCATTTTTGCCGCAGTTTATGAAGTTATACACTTTACAAATGAGGCAGAGCATTCCGTTCGATATTTGATATTTATTTTTTTTTGTCAGTGTGTAGTGCTCGTGCATGTGCTCATCTAGTAATTAGGCATTTACGGCACGCGCGCGTCTTCATTTCGCTGATATACTTACATTACATATACGTAGATAATCTCGATGATGAACGAAAAAAAATGCACAAATAAAATGAAGCCTCCCGTGTACGAGCGCGCGATCGTATTACGAAAAGTCTTCCTGCTTCTGCCGTAATGCACAAACACCAACAGCGGCAGCAGCAGCAGCATCGCACGCTCGTCTTTGATGTATCATTTTTTGATAAAATTTTCACGATGCTGTTGCGCTCAGCGAGCGAGAGAGATCCCTCCTTCTCCTCTTGCATTCTCGGCTTCTCCTTCCATCCTCGCGTCGATGTGCGCGCGGACCTCTGCGCCAAATGTTGTAATGTACGTGCATCACCGGAATTATGTATGTACATCGTATACACACTTGAAATAACGCGAGCTCATTACATGCCATAGATGGTTTCGCACACGAGCGCGCCTCGCGCGTTAAGCTTTGCCATTGATCCCCTCTTCCTCTCGTTCACTCTTCAATCAGGATTGATGCGAAAATTATTTTAAACCGTCAAATCGTATTGGGTGCGCGAGAGAACTCGTCGTTTATTTTAAGAAACGTAGAAACTCGTGCTGATTTTTCAATCGATAAAAGTTTATTTTTAAGTACTGTGCAGGTGACGAGAAAATATACGAGCTTGCACATAATGATGATTAATTTGTATTCAAAATAAATGATGCGTTTACCTTTTTCTCTCTCCCCCTCGGTTCCGAGTCGTCAATTGCGAATTACTGCCCGCAAACGTTATAATCGGTTATTGGCAGTTGAAAAATGAAAGAGTGACAGAGAGAGAGAGGCAGAGAGAAACCGACAGAAAGTGAAAGAGAGCTTGAAAGCAGCTTTGTGCGCTTGATCAAGTATGAAACGCGCGCGCTCGCGAAAAGCTCCGCTGCAGCGACTATTTCATTTTCCTTTGTTTCGCTTTTTGTCGTTTGTCGACGCCGCGGCGCGCGGCGCAACGACGTCGGTGCATACGAATATATATACCTATATCTACCGATGCAACCCAAACATTTATCTGCATTATTAACGGGGCATATTTGATCAGCTTTAGAAACAACGTATGCTCTCTACGCGTGTACGTTTACGTTTGTGCACATACGCAGCGCGTTCGTTACAAAAATTTAAAATGCAAAAATCCGACCATTTGGCGATGAATAATTTCGCGGCTTTGAAGAGCTTTCGACGACGAGTGTGCGTCGATCGAGCGGCGCACGAGAGAAAAAAAAGGAGCGCGCACTGCGGGTTATACGATTCCCGCGAAGAGAGCTTAATTCCTTTTATTTTTTAGACCTCTCGCGACCGGATGACCTTTTCGAATCCTTATATCTTGCTGCTCGCACACATGCATACGCATACACGTTGCATGCATTTATAATGCAAAAACGATGTTGATTTTTTCACGCGTTTCCGCCAGACGTTGAAGAAGCAACAACAACGACGTAAATTTAATTAAATCTTTAGCAAGCGCGCGCGCGCACGTTCTGATTCGTGTGCATATGCCGTTTCTTTGCAGCGCGAAACATTTCGTAAAATATTTACCACGTGCTCGAGCTCGTGCTGTTTGTTCGCGCGTAAGATGTTGCACGCGCGTATACCACGAGTCCGCCGCGGATCCTTGCTCTTCATTCATTATAAAAAAAAAAAAGAAAAAGAAAAAGAAACAATCGCGAGTTATCTTTTTCTTACGTCTGCGGACAACTCTATTAACGCAGCTTCCTTTGTTGCCGCAAAAGTCGGCTAGAGAATGATGAAAAAAAAGCTGCACACACAGAGAGACCGTGAGAAAACGAAGGTTTATTATAGCTGCCAAGCTCGCTCGGAAAAGTGCTGAAAATTTAATTTTTGTTGAGAAATTCGTGATAAACAGTATACGCATCTATAAAGCGAAAAAAGAAAGCTCAGAGCCTTGGCTGTGTCTTGTTCGCTGAATGCATTTGTTCTAAAACTTTCCCTTTTTCGCTCCCTAAAATTATAATTCACAATTTTTTTCGATAAACATTGGATTTTCTTCTACCGGTATAATTGAAACTGTTCGTCATAATTGATGAAAAATTTATTGTTAGTCTATCTATATCTCTCTGTAGAAATCGTAGTGTAAAAATATAAAATCGTCCTCGACTAGTGATGGTTATTAGAGCGCTATTATCGAGCCCTTCTATAGTACGAATCATTATTATTGACAAGTAAAGTTGACTATTCGATTGAATAAACATTAGGAGATCTACGGGTGTCAACCGAAAATTGTAGTACTATTACTGTCAATCGCTCTGTTTACTATAGTGTAGTCAGTACACTAACGTGTAGTCAGCAGACGTTACGACTCGGCAAGCGAAGGACAGCAGCAAGTGATTGTCGAGAAAAAAATTTTTTTATATTATTAAAATATAAACAGAAAAAAATATTTTATACTGTGCTGTGTGTGAGTCCGCAAAAAAATGTCCGCGTCCAATGACGGATCCGTATTAACTTACGAAAACCGGAAAAAATTGGAACGATTGCAGAGCTTGCGAGCCAACGTCAATTGGGAGATCGCAGCAGAGCGACGTCAATTTCTCGAAGAAGTTGAACCTTTGTTCGAAGATTGGGATAGCCAAGTTCCCAATCTGCGGGACTTTTTTGGTCCCAGAGAAATCGATTGGCTACTCGAGAATTTCGTGAAATCCAGCGAGCCAAAAAAACTCATCGAGTTCGTGGTCAGGAGCGGCTACGTGGACGAGCCCGAACTCAACGAAGGCGGCAGGCCAGTGCTGCGTCGCACCACAGCGATTCATCTCGCGGCCAGACGCGTCAACTGCCACGAGGTCATCGGTGAACTGTTCAAAATTTACAACCGATTCGACGTTAACTACATCAGCCTGCGGGGGGACAGCACGCACTTTCATCTGGCCTGCAGGTTCGGCTGCGAGGACGCGGTCGCGAGATTCCTCGAGCGAGGACAGGATCCGAATTGCCTCGTGCTCGAGACCGGTGACACGCCGCTGCACGTGGCTCTGGCGAATCTCCACGGCGAAGACGGAAAGAAGGTGGTCGACTTGCTGCTGGAAAAAGGCGCCGACCCGAATTCAACGAACCCACACGGATCGACGCCTCTGCACGTCATTTGCCAGGATGACCGCGACGATTATGTCGCGGTGAAGATGTTGCTCGAGCTCAGCCAAAAACATGATCAGTTCGTGCATCTCAACGTCCTGGACGACTCGGGTAACGCACCTGTGCACTGGGCTGTGCGCCGCGGCAACCGTGGGGTGTTCTCAGAGCTGCTGAGAAAAGGCACCGATCCAAATCTCACTGATAAGGACGGATCGACACCTCTGCATCTCATTTGCGAAAAATACGAAGATAACGCTTTATTTTTAAAACCATTTTTAAAGTATTATAACGTGGACGTGAACGCTCAGGACAAGAGGGGCAACACAGCATTGCACTATGCTCTGCGCAGCAACAACTATGGACTGGTCCGAGAGTTGCTGCATGAATATGCCGATCCGAATCTGGCCAATGATCAGGGACTGAGACCTCTGCACATAATTTGCCGGAGAACCGTCGAAGAGGACTACTTACTGGATACGTTTTTCAGGACCATAAAAGATTTACCGGAGCGTCAGCGCAGTGCGATGACGATTGAGGTCGACGCCCCGGACAATCTCAACCGGACAATGTTGCAGTGGGCCATGGCTAACGGCTTCAAGAGGATAGCAGAAACACTGCTGAGAAATGGCGCCGATCCGAACTTGGCCGATGCCGATGGATCGACTCCTCTGCATCGTATTTGCACGAGTGACAGCGACGACATCGACTTGCTGGAGAAGTTCTTCGAGGTCTGCCGGGATATCCAGAGGACGGTGCAGGTCGATGCCGTGGACGCTTTGGGCCAGACACCGCTCCAACGGGCCGTGGCGACTCTCAAGCCGAAAATAATCCATGTACTCTTGAGAAATGACCCTTATCTGATCGAATTCACGTTTCCCGACACGGATTACTTCGCGACGGAATTCCAACCGCACAGATTTAACATTGAGACCGATGCATTGAGAGTAGCGTATCGCGCGCTGGCCGTCATCAGGCAACTCGAAGACAAAGAATACAAACTGGACCGAAGCTCCGCCCTACAGATCATGAAATTGTTCGACAAGTATGGACTGTTCGACGAATCGCATCGTGCGGCGAGAACCGATTTTGAAACATGTTTGAACGAAGACGCGAAGTTCTCGAACATATTGAATGCCATAGAAATTAAACCAAAACTGTCGCTTTACAAATTGTCCCAGTTACTGCCAAAAGAAGCGATCCGACTCACGTTCGAGAACTACTTGGACTTAGCGCACTCGAACAAATTGTCGGAGCTGAGTGCAAGGCATCGCACGGCTTATCTTGAGTATCTGTTCCAAAAATTATCGAGAGGATTCGCCTTACCTTATGCAGCGATAATTTTAATGGAGCAAACAAGTGGAAGGATGCCATTGGAGTGCTTCGAAATGATAGTCGATCACCTAATGATGGAAGATTTATATAATATTTGCTTATTGGATGAAATTTAAAAATCGTAATGGCGATAAGCATATTTGCGGCATTTTTCAAGTATGTTCTTATTAAATGTTGAAGATCTTACGTAACCCTTCAATAAATAAATTCAATAAATATTGAATCCATAAATTTTCTTCAATTTTAATTTTTGTGTTTACTTTTATTTCGGTTTTATTTTATTTTTTCTATTCTATTTCGACTTATTCGGTTTTTGTACGATAAACGTGACCACGAAACGTTGACTTTTAACGTGCCAACGAGATCCATTAAAATCATAGAACAACTGTTTCAGAACATCATTGAGGAAATTCATGCAAGTTAACAATTCAATGAAAAAATTGAAACCCAGTCAAATGAAAAATCTAACAAATAAGTTGACTGGATTTCTAGAGTTGTGTTGGTGTTATTATCTAGTATCTATTGCATATAACTTTTATATTCAATTTTTTTTAAATCAAATTCATTATTTATTTGATTTTAATTTTTTAATTGAATTGTTCTCGCTGGCACTTTCACTTTTTGAGAGTATTAGAGGGAGAAGTAGTGACTCTCGATACTCCGAAAAGCTGACCAGACGCAGCGTGTGAATCAACTATAGAAGTTCTTGAAGTTCAAAACCTACGATTATCGTGCTTGCACGGAGGGACGGAATTACGTTCATTTTCACGGGTTCAATCCTAATACTTAAAGATTCCAAAGAAGTATCACTTTGAAAAATAAAAATAATACAATTAAAATGAAATTAAAAATAAAGGGGGAACGAGTACGAGAAAGTCTGCGAGTAAAAATTACCGGCGCACGAAGCAACCTTTCCGTGCCAGCTGTACGTGCGTGTATACTTTTCTCCATAAGCAATTTTTTTTTGTCAACCGCATACGACGAGCTTCGCGGACACACCTGTATATACGTGTATATAATAAAGGTATATATAGGTATACCTAAATGAGCACGAGCTAAAAAAGAGATTGTCTTTGAAATTGCTCTATTTATGCTCAATTTCCGGATAGCAAAAATAATCATGCCCAGGGTACTGTTTTCCGCGCGAGCTGCAGCCAGAGAAAAAGAATGAGAATAAGCGAGGGAGCGCGAGAGAGAAACACGGAACTCCAGCCGAGAGAAAATCGTTGGAAAACGGCAACTGCGCGATAATAAGAGGGAAGACGAGAAAAAAAATTGTTCCCTTTTCCAGTGTCGCGCTCGAGTCGTGTATATTTACGTATAGATATAGATTCGATGAGCGGCGCGATGCCATGAGCGGCATCGATTATTCAATAGCGGGTTAACTGGAAAATAAAAACCATTAGAAAATCGTTCTAAGCTACGATAATTAGAATTCGACGGCCGAGGCGGAAAAAGGGGTGAGATAGAGAGAGAGAGAGAGGGAGAGATAGAAACAAGCTCGTAATACGGAAAACTCCTATAGTTGTACACTCTTTGCCTTCGATATCGTGGCTCTTGCGCGCTTGAATAATTAGTTTGATGGGTCGTCGCTTTTTTTGTCCTCTTCTTTCTCTTTTTTTTCATTGTTAATTACACACGCGCGCGCGCGGGCATGTAAGTATAGTCTTTACAGTGTAAACAAAAGGAAGCTCGAAAGTTAATGTCACCCGGCGTATACCCGAGCTTGACTTCGGGCGCCCGAACAATAAGGTCATCGGAGCTCCTCTTCGCTCGCTCGCTATTCCCTTCCTTCCTTCCTCTTTTACTTTTTTTTTTTCTTCTTTCTAATATTCGGTGCGTCGTTACACACACCCGTGCGGGCGCGCGCGCGACATCGCTGCCGTTAGCGGTAGCGGCAGTGGTACAACCGCGAAATGTGTAAAGAATGAAAGAAAAAAGAAAGAATAAAAAAAAAGGTTGGGCTGCGGCTAATAATACGGGGGAGGGAGGGAGAATCGATATCGTCGTGTGTGCATACGTGTGCGGGCGCGCGATTGTTCTCATTACCTTTTCATTTTCAAATATATATCGAGGCGCGCGCGATTGCAAAAAAGCTCGCACACACACACATACACGCGCGCTCTAAAGGCTCATGAGAAATTCATGTGAACTTGTCTACGGCTTGTTTTATACATGAAGCTTGGGAAAAAAGTACAGCGCATACATCATCGTATGTATATTTCTTTTTTTTTTTTTTTTTTGCTATACACGTACAAATAAACAAACGGAGACTATACAGGCCTATATGCTTTTTCGTATATACCTTTTGGTTTCTTTGTTGTTATCGTGCGCACATCGTATTCGGTAATATTACCCGGTCTATTTTTCTCTCGCCACCCGCGTATGTATTCAGGGGCGGATCCAGAACCAAAGTTTAGGGGGGGCGATCATAAAAAATTTTTTTTTATAAGTTACAAACGTAACACCAAAATTAATCATTAAGATAATTACCAATAGTAACCAAATCAACCCAGTTAAAAATATTTAAAAAAAAAATATTTTTAAAAAAAAATTAAGTATGCAAACCCAAGTAACCTCAAGTAACCAAATAGATCCAGTTTGTGTAGTTTTAATAATTAAATATTCAAACCCAAGTAACCCTGTGTAACCCGAGTATCCAAATCGATCCAGCTAGAACAGCTTTAATGATCAAATGTGTAACTAAAATGAACCCAAGTAACTAAATTGATCAAGCTCGTACAATTTTTGAATAATTAAATAAATGCAAACGCAAGTAATCCCAAAAAATCAAATCAACCCAGCTCGTGCTGTTTATTTATACGTAAATCCGCAGAACTTCTTCAAATAATTTAGGGTCAAAATTCGAGAATGAATGCTCACCTCTGAAATTTTCTCATTTTTT